CACACACACACACACACACACACACATACACACACACACACACACATATATACACACACACACACACACACACACATATAATAATATTTTTATTTATTAATATTAACCTTTATTTATTTTTTTTATTATTTTACACTAGCAGGGAGACTGCCTGTCAGCACAGACAGTCCCCCTGCAGGCAGAAACATGGACACCTATTGTAACCATGTGACTGCTTTGTTGATCGATCACATGGCCCCAGGGGTCCTAATCTGCCGCGGGGAGACTGTCTGGGCTGCAGGCAGTCTCCCCACACCGGGAGCACCGCCGATCGCCGCCGGGGGAATGATGGCGATCGTGTAAGTAAATAAGACCGTTAGGACGGTTCAGGACCGTCATCGGACGGCAATGCAAAAATGCAGATGACGGTCCTGAACTGTCCTAGGTTAAGGGGTTAAACCCCTGCCCCTGTTTCTCTGAAAACTGCTATATTTTCAGCTGCAGGGTTAAAACAAGGGGGACCTGGGACCCAGACCACTTCATTGAGCTGAAGTGGTTTGGGTGCCTATAGTGGTCTTTTAAAGAACCCATTAAAAAAAAATGAAGTGCTCTCTACATGGTCCTAATGCCCTTTACACAACACAAGTGTTTTTAAGGATGTGCTCGCACATCCTAAATGGAGGACACCAGGGAACAAAAATGTGACTGTGTGACAGGACTATACAAATACATACAATATTAATCATTGGGAAATGTGTGTACTGTTATAGTCAAGAATGCATACAGAGATACTGCAAAAATTATTTATAGTGTCATGAAGGAATAAAAAAAATAAAATAAATAAAACCACAACAGTAGAACATTTACAAAGGTTAGACAATAAATTATGGATATTTTTCATGTTTTAATCCTATTAATTGGAATAAATGAGCAATGGTGGGCAATCTTTATAATGACTAGTTCTTTTGAAGTTTGCCCTGACCTCTACGGTGCTTCGATCAAAGAGTGATGTCCTTGTTAAGATATATCAGATCCTCCCTACACGTTTGCAACATTATGGATGGGTGCAAAGAAAGTGTTCATAGCATGGGACATACCAATATACAGCTTTTAGATATGCCTTGTAAAAACTTGCTATTGCAATAGGGAGAATGTTGGTAACACAGACTTTGATAGGCTCTCAGGATTTACTTTATTGACATCATAATATGGAAGCACATGCCACACATGGAAACATTTTCTAGGAACATTGCTTGCGTGACAATACATTTGCCCTGTTACACTGCCTGTGTGCCCCCTCCTTTCTGCACAGTACTTTAGTAGCATGATATTACGGTTATCATGGCCACGGTACTACAATCTAGTGTGAACACTTTTAATCCTCATTGTACATATACTATATAGGAATGTAACATTCCAGGGTAAGATAACTGTAACAAACTATTTAATATCAGCTATTTTAGTCTGCATTTTGCATGTCATAATATATTTTAGTACACTATAATTCAACATTTAGTGAATAAACCCCAGTGATACTGACAGAACCATTAGAGGACTATTCGCCAACCAGCAAATGTTGGGGACTTGAATTTTTTTTTTTTAACAGGTTAATTTAGAAAATATAGGTACGTTTGAAATACTAGTTGACAAACTCTGTCTCGTGCTTGGATTAGCAAATGCGGTTATCTGTTTCCGTCCACAGTTTAGTAAATATTTGCTTTATAAAGTTTAAAGTTGGTAAGTAATTTAAAGAAAGAAAAAAAAAAACCTTCTAATTCATATAAATGCAAATAACTCAGAGAATAGTTTCCTCGTGTCATTAGAAACAATCTTTACAGAGAGTGCATACAATAAATTATGTGGGAGGTGATGCAACACATTATTAACAGAGTTTCAGTCTAATTCAATTAGTGAATCATTGAGTACTTTATTGGTAGCTACAGATAAAAATATTTACCTCTGATTTGTCCGTATGTCCGTTTTAACTGTTATTGTGTGCCTGAGTGTGCGACTACAGAAAAGTCACTAGTAAACTATCTAGTGCAGGGGTAGGCAACCTTTTAGAGGTACTGTGCCAAAAAAGATATTGAAGTCCCTTGGTGTGCCGGTCCTTATTTTATTTTATTTTTTAAATTGAGGTGTTGAAATATTCTGCTTGTATTATTTATGGGTGCTGTAGTTGCTGTGTAAAGATGTATATGTGGGCTGTTATATTATATATGTTCATGAGTAATTTGTGTGTGTTAATGACATATCACATTGTGTGTTTGGTGGTATATGTATGTGTGGGGTTGCTTGTGGGATTGTGTGCTTGTATGTGGATTGTCAGCTGTGTTGTGTTTGTTTGGACTGTGTGTGTGTTGTGTTTGTTTGTATGTGGGCTGTTTGAATTATTTGGAGGGGAGGCTTATTTTGCAGCTCTGTGTATCTAGCAGTGTGAGTGGCTTCCATGGATCCAGTTAGGACCAGGCTGGCGAGGTACAGGTCAAGGACAGGAGCTGTGATAGCTGCTGTGGGCTGCTCCAGGGCGGATTTCAGTTCATAAGTGCTTGGAGGAAGTGATCTGAGATCACTTCCTCTAAGTGCTGCAGTGCATAAATTGTAGATTGAGCATCACCTCCTTTTTGCACTAGCAGATATCTGAAGTTCCACTGGGACTCCTGATGGGCCAGAGCCTGTATGGTGCTAGCAATCTTGAGTGCCATGCAAAGGCACCTTGAGTGCCATGCATGGCACACGTGCCATAGGTTGCCTACCCCTGATCTAGTGGTTCCCCACAAGGATTACCAGATGCTGCATGTACCGCCCTGCAGTATGTAGCAGTAATGTGCTACAATATGACAAGTCAGTAAATCAAGGCAGTTTCTAGTTTCATTCATGCAGCATATGAATCAGACATACTACAAGGTAGCACTTTTCATGTACAGTTCATTAGTATGAATAAAGCTATATAAGTCTAGGAAAACATATTGGGTCCACAAAAGACAGGTCGAAAACAGATATGATCACCTAGGTCTAGTACAGTTTGGCAGGGCAGGGGATTATGGGACTTTTGGGGGCATTTTAGTATGTGCCATGAAAACCTAACTTCAATCTTAACAAAACTGTGCAAAAATCTCTAATGCAAACCAATCAAATCACATAGTTGTGCAGTTGTTGATAACCAATTTCCCCTTAGTTGTGCTGATCACTCTACATCCTAGCTCTGATACCTTGTGTCAGGAAGATTGGATGAAAGTGTAATACAAGGCCAGCACAACACCTTTAATGGAAAATAGGGCATTTTAAGCCCATATAGAAGTTTGGTGTATAGACTATCCTTACTGCCTGCTTTTCTGAGGATACTGTAATTATGGACACATCAACATGCCAGACCAGTCCACCCTATTCTTCTCCCAACAGAAGATCTGACAAAGCTGGCTGGTCTGTAAATGCATGATTCACCAAACTCTGTCCCTCATGATTCTTTGAATGAAATTGTTAGCCAGAGAATCATGGGAGTTGTAGTTCAGCAACACCTGGAAGGCCAGAGTTTGGAGAATCCTTCATTAGACAGACAAGACAACTTTGGAGAACTTCACAGAAGAGCCCTGCCCCTGTCCACATCCCCAGTTACAACCCTAAAATGAAAGTGTCCCTCTTTGTCCATTTAAAATGTTGGTAAGGAATATTTACTATTAAGCGTGAAGTTCGGTCATTCTCAAATATAAGCTAAGTTCAGGAGAGCTAATTGAAGTTCTTGTTTAGAAAATTCCAGTTCTCTGGCATTAGTGATGGAGGCGGGTGGATCCAGGTAAAAAGTCAAACCAATCACTATAGCAATACTGAATTGTAATAAAATATAATAGGAATTGCAAAAAATGCGCTAGAAAAGTGAAGCTGTGACTATATCTGAGTTTCCCACCCACCTCTCCCCGGTCAGACACTTTTTTGTTATATATTGCAATTCAGTTTTGAATTCACAAGGTTATTCACTCAGGCATGTTTGAACATTTTATATTTTTCTCTTTGCTATTTTTGTACTGTACGCCGCCAGTATGCATTTTCTATGTGCATTATTTATATCATCACACTGTGAATGGCATAAATAATGGCCTTTATCAGGCTTTATAAGGTATCTGCCTGCTGCAGCATGCGCACTATAGGAACGCTTAAAAGTTTTTCTCTATTTCCTAAATAAAGCACTGTAGAGTCTATTCACCAAACAGAGAATTGGTGGCAAATGACCAGGCATTTAGGCCAAAATAGATAATGTGAAAAAACAAAACAGATGAATCTAGTCTGTAGCTTGTTCGAGCAGGGTCCTCATCAACCTATTGTTCCTTTAACATCTTGTAATTGTCTCATTTATTGTTAAATTTCCTCCTATTTACAATATTGTAAAGAGCTGTGGAATATGTTGGAGCTATGTCAAAAATAATGACAGTAATTGGAATTTTCAAGGTGAAATGCAGTGATTTGAACAGGGAATTTAAAATTTTAGGCTATAATAAGCAAAATTGGAAAAATCTCTCTATTATTCAGATCGGTTTTAATGGCAGACAAGGTTAAATTAAATTCAAAGTTCAGCGAAAAGCCTCGAAGGCCTAAACTTTACAATTCTTTTTTTCAATTCACTAAGTTTCCCTGTTTAGTGAATAAACCCTGTGAGAGCGTGTTTACTTATATAATCTATCCATCCATCTATCTATCTATATACACAAACAAATAGAGCTTTCACAGCAACATCTCATAGATCATCATACAGTAACCAACTTAAAAATACAACGCAATTTCATTATTTGCTTGGATATGAAACATTTATATAAATATACGTTTCAGATATATGTTCGATTTTGTTCTGGAAAATATATATAATAGTGCCAGCCACAACCAGCTTTTAAACCTTCGCACAGACAACTTACTCAGAGCACTAGTGCGTCACTAAGGTGTGAATAAATATTTAACCTCTCCAGCGCCAAGGAGGTTAAATTTAGGCAGTCGCTCACCTTGCAAAGGTGGTGCTTATGAGCAGGAATGTGACTAGTGCAGTTTGTGCAGAGGAGGGTGGGGTCAGGCAAATAGAGTCAACCAACAGGAATAAGCTATTTACCTGCTGCAAAGGTGGGTCTGTACTTTCAATTCCTCCTGCGAACGATCCTGAGGGATTTATCTGGTTTATTTGAGCAGAGTGACTGGATTGCTGTGGAAACATGCCTTTGTAAAGGCAATTTTCTTTTATTATTGCTAAGCGAGTATTTTAGAACTATACATATATATTATACTTTCAAGATGAAGAAATCAAGCACGTTGAATAAGCTTTTTGGAAAGAAAAATTCAAATAATAATAATTCTCTGTATGCTAACAACCCACCGTGGATTTTGACGCAGGGAGCCAAGAAAGGTTCTGATCCTTACTCAGGTAGGTGGATGTGAGCTTTTGGGAAAGAGGACCATTTTAAATGCTTTAATGGAACTTGGGATTTATGCACAGAACTGTGAATTGACCTTTTTTAATTTGCAATTCCTTTGTCACATTAACCAAGCATAAAATTGAGTTGGGGTATAGTTTCCAATTTGACTATTTTGGACTAAAATTAGAAATTCACTAAAATCTGATATTATTTATTTATTTTAAAGCATAACTTTGTATATATAATTTTGTTTTCCCTGTAAACAGTCAGCCATTCTCCTTCTCCCAGTGTTCTTTATAATTGGACACCTGAACCACATTTGTGATTTCCTAGGATATAATGCTCTCCTGAGAGCAGAGGGGTAAGATCAATAGGATTATTAGGAAATGTTCTGACCAGAGTTTTTCTTGAATGAACAGATTCTCAGGGTTACACAGTTCACTGCTGATTCTTTGATGTCCTTCAACGATTCCATTAAACATGAGACTTCTCAACTGCTGTTTGTCTTAGTTCTACAGTAAAAACAAACCTTGGAAACCTGCGACTCCATTAAGGTTCTTTAAATCCTGACCTGTTAGGGTTTCCATGAGAACTACATTTCCTTTTGGTAACCACAGTAGGTGAATTGCTACATATAAGCCTCATAAGAATCTCTTGGTTTGCTTAACCCCTTAAGGACCATACTTCTGGAATAAAAGGGAATCCTGACATGTCACACATGTCATGTGTCCTTAAGGGGTTAATTAAATCTTAACTCACTGACTTGACTATTTGGTATGGTTTGAGGTGTGTGTTTTTTTTTTGTTTTTTGTTTTTTTTTGTTTGTTTTTTTAATATTGTGGTTTGACTGAAGAATATTTCAGCATAAATAGGGTTAATCGTTTTTACTGATAGGAATTAAAAAAAAAAAAAAGCAAGATCCTCTTTTGGTAACTTAGAAACTAATATTAGTTGGTTACCTTGTTTTGCAGACTTTGGGAAAAAGTTAAGGGTTAAAGTAGATAAACTGGAAGCAAAGTGGATTTGAACATTTCTCCCTTTGATAAACAACTCTGAAAGTGTTACAATTCTGTCAGTCCATAAAGCCCTTTCCAAGCACTAGTGTTTGTGTATGGTTGGTTGTGATCACGTCTCTCTTTTTAAAGTCTTTTTATGGTACATGTCTTCTGACTATAAAATGTTGAAACCAAAATATCCCTTACTTTTGTACCAATTCTCGAATTATGTATTATCTTCAATCCTTACCTTTTGTTGATGTACTATGCTGCTGAAAGTATTGGCACATTTTAGCTGTCACTGAACTACCAAAATAATTACATTCTGTTTTGTGTGTGTGCGTGTTTGTATAAAAATATGTATGTGGGTGTAAAATAAATTAACTGTCTCTCTTTTTTTTATTTATTATGTGTGCATTGTGGTTTATAAGTGTTTCTCTGCAAAGTGCTGTATCAGTAGTACTAAAACCAACTAATTTTCTTGTTTCTATGGTTTTCATATTTATTTGTTTTTCTCTTCCCCTTTTTTATTTATTTTCCTTCCTTCTATAAATTATCTTCTGGATCCAAGCTGTAATCTATTCTGGCATTATTGTACAACTTAAAATCCAAAGAGAAATGTTTAAGTATTTCTGGTGTTTTTTTTTTTTCCATGTTTTTATTTGTATTTGATGCATGTTTAGTATTTCTGTGGTTTTCATAAAACTGGAAATAAAGGGAAATGTACCATTTTTGGTTATTTGTCTAAAGTAAACCTTCTTTCTCCATATTAATCTTTAATTGGGTATTACAGGAGGGGAAAAAAGGAAGTTCTCCAATCACCATAAACACTACAACTTGCTGTTGGGTATTTTATTTGTTTTATAAAATATTTTACCAGGAAGGACACATTGAGATTTTTCTTGTTTTCAAGTATGTCCAGGGTCCACAAAACATTGCATTGATACAATAATACACAATATATGCTTTATATTAACAAGGAACAGGTAGAAATATATATATAATCTACCATGACAGGTGTATTGTTAGGTTAACCATATCCACCATGTTTTCAGGGACACGTACATATTGATGGGTTGCACATGAAATGGGTTGTTGTGTAGTATGTCAAATTCAGAAGAAGGTGTATAATATTATGAAACTAGGAAACAAAGAATATGCATTAGCAGGGCAACTCTTTTTTTTCATGCGTTTTCATAAATGTATGTTTATGGGTCCCTGAAAACATGGTGGATATGTTACCCCATTCCAAGTACTCAAATTTAGTTTTTCATCAATTTGAACCTGGTTTAGCTAGTTACCTGGGGTCCAAGGGGCACCACTCCCTGTCTCTAGTACCAACATCAAATGGTTTAATTACTTACAGTAGGGTAGTAGTTATGGGGCTTGGAGAGTTCCTTTTTAAACACTATGACTTAATGCATTATCTAGATGAGTTCTGTACAGTGTGTTCAATTTTGTTGCACCAACAAACTGCGGAGCTGGCCATAAACAAAAGTGTTGCATGTACATGTGTATTTGAGGTCATGTTTTCTCACGCTGAGTGATAAACTTATAAGTTTGTATGGAAGAATGTTTGACTGTATCTGTACTGTCACTTGTTGATATTGAGGTTTTTTTTTTTTGTGTGTGTGTATATATATATATGTGTGTGTGTGTGTGTGTGTGTGTGTGTGTGTGTGTGTGTGTGTGTGTGTGTATGTATATGTGTGTGTGTGTATATATATATATATATATATATATATATATATATATATATATATATATATATATATATAAAATTTATTATTATTATAAGTAAACACTTGGGCTAAGTTTCCCTGTCTATTTTAAACTACCATTTATTTATTGATTGTGTCCTACCCAGGAACACATAATGACAGTTCAGGGGGGCTGGACTTCTCAGTGGGTCACTACCTAATTTTTAATTTACCCAGAAGCTGCCCCAACCTATCATATTCTATTTTTGTTATTTTTTTTGTACCTCAACATGTATGTCTAATTCTTTGTCCATTCCAAATACTACTTCTCAACTACCACTTTAATTTATTTTTCATTTCATAGTATTCACACTAATCTCATTCATCCACAACACACCTTCTTTGTTTCTCCCCTCCAGTCATTGTTATTTTGAGTGACATTACAGACTCCTAACAAATGTCGTGGAATATGTCTATCTTACAACCTAGCTGTAAAACACAACCACATCTCCCTATAAACAAAGTACATTACTTGGTAAATGACTGACTTCTGTGATGCTAAGTAAAATAACATTGGCTTCAGGCAAGGAGATCCTCCCTCTAGCTTCAGTGGGTGGGAGTAAGATTAACAAGTGCCATTTATAGTGGTTCATGTTCCCCATTGGAGCTCATGCTGAAAGGGGCTGAGACTTGTCTGGAGATAGAAAGGCAGCCTAGTTAGTACATATGCTTACCACCAATGACTGATGGGCACCAGCCCCTTACAGTTTGGCGTTAAAGGACCACTATAGGCACCCAGACCACTTCAGCTTAATGAAGTGGTCTGGGTGCCAGGTCCACCTAGGATTACCCCTTTCTGCTGTAAACATAGCAGTTTCAGAGAAACTGCTATGCTTGCTTTCGGGTTAATTCAGCCTCTAGTGGCTGTCTCATTGAGGGAAAGGAGGAGGAGGAGGAGAATCTCCAGCACAGAGGGAGCCCGGCGCTGGAGAAAGGTAAGTTTAACCCCTTTCTCTCCATCCAGCCCGGTGGAAGTGGGACCCTGAGGGTGGGGGCACCGTCGGGGCACTATAGTGGTCCTTTAACCCTAAATTGGGAATTCCTAGTAAAACACAATAAACAGATTGTCACCGGTTAGACATCACTTGATGTACATTGTGTATTAAATAACCAAAAAATACTCCCCTTTGACATTATTGTTTACCCCCAGGAATTATAGCTCCTGTAGTAAGGAGAGCCCAGACTGGAGACTAACTGGCATTCCCATTATCTCTGAGAGTGCTAAGTGTGTCATGAAATAGAAAAACTAATATTGCCTAAGTTTGCTGGTAACTGCTGATTATATTCTACTTCTATAGCAACAACTCCTTTCATACTTTTCATGACTGGACCTATAGATATGGCCGCATATGTGCATGGACTTGGCATGATTTAGGAGAATGAATTGTAGCACTCTTGCTCAGTGCATATTTTGTATATTTTGATAGCTGATAACACAGAAATCCAGCTTTATATTTGGGTTCTTTTAAGCAGGATGATCGTCGTCTAAGGCAGTGTTCCCCAATCCAGTTCTTATGGACCACCAGCAGTCCCAGCTTTGTGTCCCTGTCTTGTTCCAATGGAGATACTGACAACACCTGGACTGTTGGTGGTCCATGAGGACTGGATTGGTGAACAATGATCTAAGGAACTAAGCAAATTCTGAAACTAGTTTTGAAAATAACGCTGTAGTGGACTGCTAGTTACAAGACAGAACTTTAAACCACGATCTCACATGGAACATGTGGAAGTCCCTGAAAAGGAATGTCGTAAAACCCACCTTTCGGGATTGGCACACTGTTGCATATGTTGTAACATTGTCTCTCTTTATAGATAAAAGTTGTGCAATTAATTGTTTGGGTTTTAAAAACGAATACTATTTAAATGGGCACTGTCGTGTGGATTTTTCGCATAACCCAATAGCGAATTTTGAATTTGGTTGGATTTTTATGTTTCTGCTTTTTCCACATAGATGCCTATTTGCACGTGGAGCACACTGGAACATTGCCCTAGAAGTGCTGTCGAGGGCACATTTGTTCTATACCTACCACTGCTGCACTCCAACGGATACCCCAGACCAGGGCCGGACTGGGACAAAGATTCAGCCCGGGCAATAAAGGCAGAGCAGCCCACTAGGAGGGGCCGTGCCAGAAAGGTTGAGTGTAATGTCACCATTGACACACTCAGCCCTCCCCCCACCAAATGACTGTTTTGTGGGGAGCTACGTGTGGCTAGGGACTGTAGTGTGTGTTGTTTTTATAGGGCCTGTGGAGTGTGTGGGCCTAGGGGATGTAATGTGTGCATGTAAGGGCTGTACTGTGTATTTGGGAGTGTATCTAGGGTCTCTAGTGTGTGTGTGTGTGTGTGCGCATATAGGGACTGTAGAGCACACGTACATAGGTGCTGTAATCTGTACAGGGGATGTAGAATGTGTATTTATAGGGGACATAGATTAGTGTGTGTGCATGCATGGGGTGTAGTGTGTGTTTATAGGGGTATAAAGTATGAGTGCAGGGAGTGTAGTGTATGTTTAGGAGGTATATGGTGTATGTGAGTGCCGGGGTTATAGCGTGTGTGTAGTGTGAGTGCATGGAGGGTGCCCGGCTTACTGCCCAATCTCCCCTCTGGCCCATGATGGGACAGAACACCATCTTGGGGCCAGTGCTCCCCTGGATGGGCCGGCAGGGGAGATCTCTTGATCTTTCCTGCCGGCTTAGGCCCATGGCCCTCGCGGCCCACTGGGCATTTGCCCGATGGCCAGTCCGAGCCAGCCCTAGACCTATGAATCACTTTAGCTTGCTGAAAACATTTGATTTATTTATTTTGAGCTGATTTTAATAGAAATTGATACTCTTATAAATTAACCTGGTTACACCCACTTGGCTGTCAATCACACAACAGGTCCTGTTATTTTTTTGGTTTGGTTAGCTCAGTTGAGCTAAGCTCCAGAGGTAGCAATTTCCATGAGCACCTACCTTGCAAAGACTTCTTATTGAGTGGCATTGAAAAACTGTTTGCTCAGCCGCAGAAAGTCTGGAGAGAATTCAAAGAAAGCAGACGAGAACTGCAGGTTTTGCAAGCTGTTTTAAGATATCCCAATAAAACATGCATAATTAAATGTATGTTTTCATTTGTGGTATATATATACTGTGACAGACCACCTGACACCCTGACTGCCTTCCTCTGCCAATCACTGCTTCCTAGTAGACTTGAGTATTATAAGCACCTTAGCCGCCATAGCTTGGTTGGGGTCTCTCTGTCCTCCACCCACCCTGGACCCAAGCCCAGGATCCAGCTTTCAGTGGGTGGACCTCTCCTATTCCAGAGAGTCTAGCAGGTATAGCTGTGTAGCTCTTACAAGCGCTAGTGATCATAGCCAGTGTAGCATGTTGAGGGTGAAGTGAACAGACTTTAATGGGACCATACTTGGCCTTTCATGACAGTCCCAATGCAAGGGGCACCCCCCCCACCCCCCCCCGGACCTGAGACTAAACCATAGTAAAAAAAAATACTCAATCAAATTGGCTCTCAGATCCAGGACACTCCCATACAAACTAGGTCAATCTCTCCTCTGTACCTGGGAGATAATTGAGTCAAGTACTGTATTAACTCAATTATCTCCAGACACAAAGTGCCGAACCAGGGGGAATAAAATATGGGTCTTTACAGTCGCTGACATGGCACATAGTCTTTTGGCAGGAGGCTGGAAAGCAGGCCCCTCCAAAAGCCTGTTGCAAGGTTCTGTTCGCCACATATACTATACAATGATCTTTCTTTATTTTGTATTTGGGCAGGAGTGTGTCCCTTTAAGTAGTTTGCGGGGGTGTGGGAATGTCATCTTGAGACTGTATAATAACAGTAATGTAACTTGAATAATTGGTGAAGGGGGTTCTCCTCGTACTTCTTTTATCTCATGATGCTAGGCACATAGGTTTTGCTCACCCCCCTCCCCTTCCTCTCTCCAACAGGAAGAAAAAGAAGATATAGAGGAAATGTTTGTCAAGGATTTCCTAGTAAATCTCATAGGCTTGCATGCCCCTGAATCTAAACATGCACTTGGGCACTATAGCATTGGGAATACATATTTGCATTACTAAACCTGTAGTGTTCCTTTTATTTATTTTTTTTATTTTTTTTTAAAGCTTTGCTTCTATTCCCTTCTTAAATATAATGGACCCCTTCTTGGTTTATTTTTTTTACCTTCTAAGTGAATCCATACAGTTGGAAACTCACATAATCTCACAAAGAATAACACAATCTGCTTAAAGATAACTTCTCTGGAAGAGAATGTGTTTATTTTTTATTTTATTTTTTTTTAATTTTATTTTTTTATTTCCTTCCCTGTAAAAGCTACTAAAGTGCTTTGGGGTGGGGATTTGGGGGCTAAAGCTCAAGATGTCCGACTGAATACATGGTTGTGTAGCATGTGCTTGTTTTTTTGTTTTCATTGAGATCCAGGACAGCAGCATGCTGGTCATGGGTAGCAAGAGGTGTGGATATGTCATGACCTATCCCCACCTTTCTGTTAGGGTAGGGGTCATTGAGTTTTTTTTCATTTCTTCTCAACGTAGGTAAAATCACACTTTCTTCTGTTGCACCTTCATCCCATGGGTGACATGATAACCCCATGATGCTCTAGTAATGCATTATGAACGCTTGGGCATTCCTTTCATTGTGCCATACAAGTGCATGCAACACTGTGGGGAGGGTTACAAATTAAACTTGATTTCTTTTCTTTTTTTCTTTTTTTCTTTTTACAATTTTCACAATAATTGTATATAATTAGTGCATCTTAAATAGTGTAATTAAAAAATTCAATTATTGGTCCCAATTTACAGAATATATCACATGCCTAGGATTTCAGTTTATTCGTGGTAGTTGCATCTCACAAACTACAAGGAGTGAAATACTGTCTGTGTGGTATGATTTTAGAATTTGGCATGGTTGTCTTCTAAGCTTAGTATCCATTGCAGAAAACAAAATTGCCACACAAAAATATATATTTCTATAAAGTAGACATCTTGGTCTAGTTACCTAAGGATATTTGAAACTTTGCACCTCAAGAAGATGCAAAGGAGCATTGCAATGCGTCAAAAAAAATTCCAGTTACTTGTAAGGCTTTTATTACGGTTTTAAAATAAATATTATTTGTACTATTTTATACTGGTTTTGCTTTCTTTCTTCCCTTCCCTTCCCTTCTACAGTGGGCAAAGATGCCCTCATAATCCAGTGCAAGTTTCATATCACACAAAGACTATACTATCTGAGCCAGTTAAGAATAACAGGCTCAAGGAAATGTGAGTGCGATACCTACTATATATTGTGTGTGTGTGTGTGTGTGTATATACCAATCTCCACATAACGTATGCTGTTGGGTTGCCCTATGTGAGTTTTTCTTTCATTTGTAGTGGGAATCTAAATTCATTTTATGGTACAGTATTTTATAATTCTTATAACTTGGTGCACACATATAAGTGGTGTATATTTCCAATAGAAGGAAAATCTAGACCTATAAATTGACTTTGTTTTAGCTCTTGATTAGATGTAGTATTTCGTGTGTGTGTTGTGGTTAAGGTTTGGCTTCTTTGTGAGTCATACAGATGTAGTTTATATGAACTGAGGGACATGGCACATTGTTTACTGTAGCTTTGACAAACTTAAATACACTGTGAGCTGGCTTTCTGTGCATGCATAATATTTGAATTTCCAAGCTTCCCTTCATGCCATCTGGGTCATATGAAAGTCCTAGTGCTGGAGTGTGTGTGTGTGTGTGTGTGTGTATGTGTGTGTGTGTGTGTGTATCTCACACACCGATAAATAAAAAAAATAATAGATACTTATACTGAGAGGCCAGTGTTGCATATTTATCTCTGGCACATTGTACATTTCAGTAAGTGTATGACACATAAGGTGCATAGTTTTCATATGTAACAAATCAGTAGCAGTAATTGCACTAGGTGGAGAATTTTGACTATTTGTATGTAAAACATAATTAAAAGAAAAGAAACCTGCAGACTTCAGGATATAGGTTAGCTGATTGAATGGCAAGGCCGAATGTCAGAAAACTGAGTGCCTATGGTGGGCTTGTAAACCTTAAGCTGTTGTTAAGACCAGGAGCATCTGTGACATCTAGACCCCAGGGGGATGTTGTAAAAATTGTGAAAGGTTTGATAAACCTTTTGTAGATAACCATCAGTCGTTTAACATGTTGTTGTCCAACAGGTATGGCTGCTTGTGTTAAGTTACAAGTGTTTTTGCAGTGAATTTACGTGCCATAAACAGTGTCAGGTCTAGTATCACCAGGTATAACTAAACCCTAGGAGGGTATAGCAAAATACATAAAGTAGAGACCTTATAATCCTAGAATGGAGTGTTAGCTTTTTACAGGATTAGAACTGGATTGTAGTAACTGGTAAAATATATTAAAAACATGTAACATAAGCTATGCGATATAAGAAACTTTTGAAAGACAAATGGGAAAACCCCTGAAGTGTTAGGGTCAAAGTCCTGTGAGACTACCTTTCTATAGATAACTTACCAAGGTTATGGATGGTGGACTGAAACATCTGGGTTCTTGGCTCAGAGGGAGAACAATGGGCTTGGACACCACTCAGGACAGGTGAGCAGGGGTTTGCAATCGTATATGCATTGCCAGAAGTTAGCACAGATGTCTTCATATTTCTTACAAAAGGCTTATTCCCACCTCTGAACAGTATCCCAGGCTCTGAGGTGTTTAGAGGCAGATGAGGAGGCAATCTTGGATTGATCACGATGCCAAAGAGTGGCTGTTTTGTTAGGGGGGTTGACAAGCCACTTAATGGGCTTCATAAGTGGGGAACGGGGATAACACCCACTGTTCCAGAGGGGGGGACAACTGGACTCAAAATGCAATGATGTACAGTTCTCCTCGGGGGATCATCCATTTCTCCCACCCGCAAAGGCTGCCTGTGATCCTGGGCTTGACCAGATGCTGCAGGAGTATATATATATGTTTCTGCCAGAGAGTAGTTACTTAGGTGAGTGTAGCCTGGACAATGGAGCTACAAGAAAATGCATCCAGATATCTAGGCTGCAGGCTCTCCCCTTAGTTTGGCTATTTTGCCCTTAAAGGGACATTCCAGGCTCCCAGACCACTTCTGCCCATTGAAGTGGTCTGGGTGCCAACTCCCACTACCCTTAACCCTGCAAGTGTAATTATTGCAGTTTTTTATAAACTGCAATAATTACCTTGCAGGGTTAACTCCACCTCTAGTGGCTGTCTACTAGACAGCCACAAGAGGGCACTTCCTGGTCCATAGCACAGAAAACCTGTGCTAGAGCGTCGCTGGACGTCCTCACGCTGTGTGAGGACCTCCAGCGTAGCTCAATTCCCCATAGGTAAGCATTGAAAAGCATTTTCAGTGCTTTCCTATGGAGAGCTCTAATGCGCAATGCTGCGCATTAGGCTTCTGCGGGTGGGATCAGTCTCGCCCACTGGCTGACGTAATGAAGAGGCGTGGCGGTGACCCAAAACCACCTCCCTCGACGGGGGTCTCAAGTAAGTGACTGAAGGGGTTTTCACCCCTTCAGCAACCGGGGATTGGGAGGTGGGAGGGAGAGGGGACCTTCAGTGGAGAGTCCCTTTAAATCTGAAATATTCTTTGAATCCACTTCGAATTCCAGGCTATTAACACTTTTAGTGAGTATCCCTATGTTATGTTTTGACATAACAGAATCACTTTGGGCATGGAGCAAGGCTCATTATGTGAGTTAATCTGACCTAACATTTAATAAATATTTTAAATAATTTATCTATAGTTAGAATAGAAGACGAGCATCTAACAATGTTCTAAGCACGGAATTTCATGGCTCTGTGATATTGGAGAAATTCTATATTTGTTTACATAAACACTTTGATCACTTTACTAAGTGTAACTCTATATACAAAGCCCTCTAGACATAGAAAAGAGCCTCAATTCATGTTTGACCAGACCATTTTGAAAGGAGAAGTTGGGTGATTTGACTTATCTTGGAATAATTGTTTGTGACAGATGTGTTGGTTCTATGTCTCTGGAACTGCTGACTTAATGGACGTTTCACATGTACTAATGTGTATAGTGTATCTTTTTTTTGTGTTTATCCATTGTTTTTCATAGAGAAGCAGTAGGGACCAGATGCATAAGCATGGCACACTCATTCAGTCAAATGCTCTCTGAGAATCATGTGACTGAAGAACAGCCTCTCGGTTTTTGCAGCAGAAGTGCCTCTAATGACTGTCAGACACTAGAGGGGTGTTTTAAAAATGCAATGAAAACATTGCAGTTTCTACAAAATGGCAATATTTTACATTGTAGGATTAGAATTAATAGAGCACTGCACTCAGACCACTTCTTTGAGATGAAGTGGTCTGGGTGCCTATAGTGCTTGTTTAATAGACCTATTCATCCTACATATTGAAGTAGACATTCTATACAACCATACAGTGCAGAAATCACCAGAAACACAAATGGATTTCTGCAACTGGCACTTTTGTTTCACTTGTGGTGTAACTGCCCCTTCATCCATCGTCCTGTCTAAGTGGTTAGGTGATTTGTGTCCCTATTGCAAAAGTTCCAAGGATATTGCATCTTAATCGTATGATTACATTTAATTTGCATAACTTGTCCTTTTGACATACTTTAAAGAGTCCAGAGCACGCTTGTTTCTCTTTTCCTTTTAGCCTGGCTACTTATGCATTTTAATGTGCTATATTTATTTGGGATTTATGAATTCGTAGATAAACACCTCAGAGCCCTTTTTAGATACCAGTAATGGAACATGTCCCATAGTTTCACCATCGCTATAAAATGTGTGGGTTCATAAGCCAACAAGAGTGTGCTGAAGGTGTCTACATTATCTCCATGCTTGCACAAGAAGTTCTCTTCTTCTGTTGTACCATTGCCAGGATTGTCTGATCTATGCATCTGTTACTGGCACTCACAAATGAAATACTTACTTGTATTTCTTTATTTATGTATGTAGTATGTATAACATCTCCATGGACAAGTGTTGGTTGTTGTGGTTTTTGTTTGTTTTTGTTTTTTTGGGGGGGAGGGGAGTGGGTCTCTTCCTTTCTCAAAATCAGGCCTTTCACTAGGTGTACCTATCTACATTCATCATGAGCTGTTCTTTCTGAGGTGTGGAACAACAGACTCTTTTTATATGAAAGCTTGACACAGTCTCGGTGGCAACCACACCTTTTTATCATTACAAATTACACTGTGCTGGTACTGCAATACCTGTCCCTGTGTTTTTTTATAATGCAACAAAACATTTAATTTTTTTTTCTACTACTGCAGCCATTTTTATTTATTTTTTTTAGTTTATTCTAAATATCTAATATCAATGTGCATTCGATTAAATTTGCCTATTCCTTGAATTCGGATGCTTCTCAAAATCCTACACTGGCTTCCAGTAAATTTAATAATCTCTGCTCTTCTTAATACAGACTAAACACTTCCCTTCTCTACCTCAATTAAAAGAACACTCCAATCACTATAAACATTACAAAACTATTCGACTAACTACATAGTGGGGTGTGCAAACCTTTTCATAAATTAGAGACATTTTAGCGTTTTGATTGGCAACACTTTAAAAATACATGATAATGTGTTCTTTTAACACACTATTTTGTCTGACACAATTATTGTGACTATTGGTATATAGTTAATAATAGCATAATAGCAATGCTTATTGATGCATATTGACGTTTCACACACTGTTCATTTTTATTACTTTTTTTTTTTTTTTAACCCGTTTGTGGCTGATTGGTACATATCACACAAGTCTGAGATTTCAATAAGGTCTAAAACTATTTTTTTTTTTTTTTTTACATGTCCAATGTCCTATAGGTTGTTATCAAAAACTACTGTCAGAATGGAACTTCCCAATTATTGATGAGGATTAAACAAATTCATAGAATATTCTTTTTATATAGCGCTAAAATTATTTTTTCTTTTTAGTGGCCAATGACCTGTTTGGGATTGATGCACGAAATGTAACCAAACCATACACAAGTCGATGGATAAATTTACTGAACATCTAGTAGATAAACCTCCAATAAAGATCAGTTTCATGAATGCATAACATGGGAACATATATATTTATTATATATTTTATAGTACTTCCTAGAAATTTGAAATTTCCAGTTGTATAACATATTTGACTGCTTTTAACCATTTAAACAGTGATTTCATGTGGAGAATGTAGAATTTCTGAGGATTGAAATATGTTTTTATTTAGAAATTCCTAGAATGGATTACAAATTTCAAGTGACATTTACCCTACCAGTGAAATCCTTCTTCTCTCATAACTCACAGTACATGTAACCCATGAGTTACAAGAGCAACACCTCAAAAATATACATAGAATTAAAACTTGAAGGTTGTCATCAATAATGCAGTAATGTCAGAAGCCTGGAGCGATCATAGATAACCTGTAAGAATTGACATTTTGGATTAAACTGCCAGCAGATCAGATGATCTATCATTCAGAGCTGTTCCAGTAGAATGCGTGGAAGAAAGAACATGATGTCAATCTGTGAAGTTGTTGAAGGATAGAAAGATAGTCACTAGACTTGTGCATTTGATACAATTTTGGGCAATCTGCAAAATGTGTTATGGACAAATTCAAAATAGACAATGGATGAAAAGTTTTTTAGTATGTTTTAGCAATTCAGAGTTTAGCTGTCCGCGGCACCACAAAAAGTTTATAACAGTACAAAAGATGATTGACGGCTAATAAATGCTAGTTTTATTCACAGATCAAGTAAAAAAAAAAAAAAAAAAGTTATCATTGCTTGCGTACATGTATTCAGTCTGGCTTCCACGCTCATCACTCTGTTGAAACAGCTGTGACCAAAGTATCCAGTGATTTAATCACTGCTAAATCTCCAGGCCATTACTCTATCCTAATTCTCCTTGATCTTTCTGCTGCCTTTGACACTGTTAATCATCAACAGCTTCTTCGTAATCTCGGTCTACGAGATACTGCTCTTCCCTGTTACTCCTCCAACCTCTCCCAGCGTTTTTTCAGTGTTTCTTTCTCGGGCTCTGCCTCTTCTCCCCAATCCCTCTCTGTTGGTGTCCACCAAGGTTCAGTCCTTGGTCCCCTACTGTTCTCCATCTATACTGCTTCCCTTGGTAAACTCATTAGCTCTTTTTGATTCCAGTATTATTTAAATGCAGATGACCCACAAATCTACCTGTCCTCTCCTGATCTCTCTCCGCCCATCTTGACTCTTGTCTCTGACTGTCTCGCCACAATTTCCAACTGGATGGCTACTCACTTCCTTAAACTCAACCTGTCCAAAACAGAACTTCTGGTCTTTCCTCCCTTAAGTGTTGCTACTCCCGTGTCTGTCTTCCTCCAAGTCAACGGTGCTACAATCACCTCTACCTTGCAGGCTCAGTGCCTAGGTGTCCTTTGACTCCGACCTCTCTTTCATCCCTCATGTCCAGTCAATCGCCAAATCCTGCCACTTCCATCTCAAAACCATAGCTTGCAACCGCCCCTATTTAACACAAGATGCGGCTAAGGTGCTGGTCCATGCTGTTGTTCTTTCTCATCTTGACTACTGCAATCCCCTTCTCAGTGGTCTTACGTGTTCCCAGATTGCAACGCGGTGGCAAGGCTTCTTTTCCTGTCTGCCCACACCTCCCATGCCTCCCCTCTCTGTCAATTCCTACAATGGCTTCCAGTTAGATATAGGGCTCAATTTAAGATTTTGGTGCTTACTTACAAGTCCCTACATAATACTGCTCCAACCTACCTATCCTCCCTAATACACAAGTATGTCCCGTCGAGGCCCCTGCGCTCTGCCAAAGACCTACATCTATCCTCTGTCCGTACTCCAACATCTGATGCTCTCTTCCAAGACTTCTCCAGGGCTGCACTATTTTTTGTGGAGCTCCCATCTCTTCTCCGTTAGACTTTCATGGAGAAGAAAGTCTTCAAAAATCTTTGGAAGCATATCATTTAAACAGTTAGTGGATTTTCATTCTCCCCCCCCCCTCCCCCTCCATTACTGCTCTCTTGCAACTGTCAAAAATAACCAGTGAATACTTTTCTAGCAACCTATTTCCTTACCCTTACTTATACCCTTTGTGTCACTATACCCCACTCCCTCTAGCATGTAACCTCATTGAGCAGGGCCCTCAACCCCTCTTATCCTTTGCGTCCATTTGTCTGATTACAATTGCGTGTCTGGTAGTCCACCCATTGTACAGTGCTATGGAATTTTGCTCGCGCTATATAAATAAGTTGCTGTAGTCTATTAGAGGAAAGAGAAGAGGTACATCCTAAGAAAATGAGAATGGTAGGATCCAGACAAATAGCGCTGGTTTAGAAGTCCACTGGATGAAATAACAGCTTCATTTTAATGAAGTATCTATGGATTCTGTTACCACCTGCCTGGGATTTTTCATATAATTTTAACATATTTATTACAAATTGTGAAAATATATTCCAATGTTGTATCAAATTATAAACTGAATGTCCAGGATGTTTGTGTCACACTAACTCCATAATGCACAAGGTATTGCGTGTGGTGTTTTTGTTTTGTTTTTTACAGTGAGGATTTTTTTGTCCATGTGTGCGTCTACTCAAGACCTGTTGGGAGGCATGCTTTCATATCGTCTGAGGAAAGACTTGTGCTATTAAAGAATAATTATATGTTTTACTTGGTTGTGACACATTGGTTTCAGTTAAGTATTGGCTGACATTCTTAATGAAGTAATCATGAGCACATTGAAATGGGGTGTGTCAATACATTAGGGTGTTCACCCTAATAGAAAGGAATGTTTAAATCTGTTTTTCTATTTTAATCCATGGTGACAAGAACTTTATTTAATCCATTGTGACAAACCCAATTTATTTAACTTTAATGGCCCTGCTACCTTTGTGTATTGACTTTCTATGGTAAACCATTTACTTGGATAATCTAACTCTGAAAACCTATCGCCATAAGGTGAACAGGCTGGTGTTTTATACACCGGGCAGCAAATTATAGTGTACTAAAAAGTCATACCTCTCAAGTGTCCCTATTTAGGAGGAACGGTTCCTATGTTGGGTCCCTTTCTCTCTTTCTATCCTAATGTCCCTCATTTCTAGGAGTTCCATATTGTTGGTGTGTCTGAGTGTATAACAGATCTCCAGGCATAGGCGTGCGCAGCCTATTGCATAAATCCGTTACATACATTTGTTACTAGTAAGTCGCCCAAAATGTCTCTGAACAGAAACAGCCCACATCAACTCCCCTAAAATTAAAGTGTCCCTCTTTTTCTTAATTTTGGGAGGTATGCAAATATCAAACTAAAGGCCAAAGTAGCTAAGAATATCTCTAACTCTCCTACACAATCACAATCTAAGATTATTTTTTTTTAATGTAATACCATGTATTGCTTTAGCGAATAAACACTTTATTTCTGCTTTACCAACTACCGTATATACTCGTGTATAAGTCGATCTCATGTATAAGTCGAGTGCAGTTTTGTGACCAACAATTGTGAAATATGCTATGCCTCGTGGATAAGTCGAGGGTAAAACATGGGGCTATGAAATTCTGTGATTTTTATAATTATATACACACACACTCATACAAACACACACTCTGCATTATATACACACACACTTATACAAACACACACTCTGCATTATATACACACACACACTTATACAAACACACACTCTGCATTATATACACACACACTTATACAAACACACACTCTGCATTATATACACACACACTTATACAAACACACACTCTGCATTATATACACACACACACTCATACAAACACACACTCTGCATTATATACACACACTCTGTGTATATAATGCAGAGTGTGTATTTGTGTAGTGTGTGTAAACTGGGTGGGGGGAGGGCATTTTTATTTAAATTTTTTTGATTTTAATATTATAATTTTTTTTTTATTTTTTTTTGTCACCCCTCCCTGCTTGTTAACTGGTCAGGGAGGGGGGCTATCTTAATCCCTGGTGGTCCAGTGGCATGGGCTGTGAAGTGGGGGGGCCGGCAGGAAGCATTTACTTACCTTTCCTGCAGCTCCTGTCAGCTCCCTTCTCCTCCGTTCCGGTCAGCTCCACTGTAAGTCTCGCGGTCTGGTTGCCGCGCGGATCGTTGCCATGGCTCTGACGGCCGCGGCTCTCTAAGTTGCCATAATACAGACAGTAACTCGAGTATAAGTCGAGTGGGGGTTTTTAAGCACAAAAAATATGCTGAAAAACTAGACTTATACTAGAGTGTATATACTGTAATTGATTGAAAAGTGCTTCCTTTTTCCTACTCTTAGTGTTAATGATTTATTTAAGAAATTTCTTGTTGTACATGACAAGGAAGTTTTATTACACCAAAAAGTTCACAAGAGCAACTTGGGATCACTTCAAGAAAAGTGGATGTTTTTGATCTGATTGATCAAGCGGTTTCATTAAACAGGGGTAATGTTAAAAAGCTGTAAAATGGTGAAAATTAATAAGAAACTCTGTAAGGGCTTGCAAGTGTAGTTCCTAACCACCTATCCATCAGTCACTCTATCTAGCGAAGTCTAAAACTACATTGCTCAAGACTGATGTTCTGGTAGTGTGCCCTGAGCAGATCCCCAGTGTAGAAATGCGTCTGTTACACTGCATCCCTGAAGAAGTGAGTACAGGACTCACGAAACGCGTAGGATTGAGAAACTGAGACATCAAACCAGCTCGGAGACAGAGAGAACCCACTGATGATTAGGTTCCAGCTTGTGATTCCTACAAAGCTGTTTGTTTGAACGAAGCGCACAGCGTTTTACCCACCCAGGATATTGTACTGGATGTTTTTACTTTTTGTTCTACTTCAACTTTTTATTTTCTACTGACTTGTCCACAACAATCAATTGAGGGAATCTGCAACTCCTTTGCAGGATCTACATAAATAGGAGGATGGTACACATCCATTAACCCCTTCACTACCAGACGCAGCAGGAGTGCACTCCAGTATCTGGAATCAGGTTTCTATTTTATTTTATTTTTTTCACTTCATATTCTCATAAACTTTTGGTGTATTTTTGTATATAATGACTATTTGTTTTATTTGAGTTGTATACAGCAGTAGATACCCCAGAGTGGGATCTTCATCTGTTGAACCGGATATTCTATTTACCTACTAACATTTTATTTAGATTTTTTTTCAGGTTTTTTTTTTTTTCCTAAACACATATTTGCCTGTCATGATAATTTAAATAAAGCCTCTATTTTTTTACTTACTCTAGCACAGTGATGGTGAACCTTTTTGAGCCCGAGTGCCCAAACCGCAATACATGCCAACTTTTTTTTTTTTTTCTCAAAGTGCCAACACGGCAATTAAACCTGAATACTGAGATTTAAGTTTAGAAAAAACAACTTGTACAGTTGTCCGAACTAGTTAACATCCTTTTGTTTTAAAAGACACAACAGAGAGTTCAATAATACAAATTTTAAATAATGATATTCATAGATAAAATTAAGCTTATATTTGTTAGTATCTCCAACAAATGCAATGCATACACACAGCTGAAACATTTCACACACCGACTGCTTAATACAGACACAGACTGCTAAATACACACAGTCCGCGATACACACACACACACACACACACACCTACGCACAGTCCGCTGAATACTCACACGCACACACACACTGCTGAATACACACATACTGCATTGAGGGGTGCTGTGTGTGTGAGAGGTGCTGTGTGTGGGGGGGTAGGGGTGCTCAGTTGGGGGGGGTTTAAGATATATTTTAAAAAAAAATTATTATTTTTTTTAAAAGCATATTGAATCAGTATTCCCGCCCCCCTCTTCCTCCCTTCATCTTACCTTTTGGTGAAGGGGGGGGGGGGAGGGGAACACAGCCATTGTATTAGTAAATTTTGTTGAAAGACTAATTTAGGTCTTTCAGCCTTTTAGTAGATAACGCCCTCATTCCCATGGTTTTAGGGAGTTATCTACTTATTCATTCCTGTCATTACATTGACTGGCTAAGTAACTTACATTTTATATGAATGTGTGTTACTTGATTGTTGTAAGTGTTGCAAATGCTTACAGCTGAATCCTGGCTATGTTTGTATACTTTTTATTTAAAATTGTGTACAGTTCATTCTTTCACTGGGTAAGTATATTAGTTCTTAGGCAATACTGTACTTGGGAACTTCGGCAATTCGGTAATTTCGGGACTTCAACCATTTGGCAATTCAGCAATTCATCTATTCGGACACTTGGAAGTACCCGAATGTCCAAATTCACATAAGATCATTTTTTATTTTTTTTTATTTTTTTTTTTCAAACCCCAAAAGCATCTTCAACGCAACCTTTTAACAGGAACAGCTATGTTTTTGGTTGTCAGCCTCTTGACTCTAATGGCAATACAATAGCATATTGCACTTGCATTATTGTTGTTTTACATCTTCCTTGTGTTTCTTGGTAATGTCTTTTGTATGAACACTCTGTGTTTTAAAAAAAATATATATATATATATATATATATATATATATATATATATATAATTTTTTTTTTTTTAATTGTTTATTTTCTTGGCTGTAATACTCTATTTGTGTATTTGAATGTTGTATAGTTAACATTGCTTTGATATATTCTCAATTGAAAGGTTTCATATTCCATGTGGAAATAAACATGTCTACCCACACTTGATTTGGTGCCATAAAAGGGGCCAACATATGAATGTCCCAACTATTTTGGGAGGTATCCATTTGAGATCTAGATAGATGGGCCAGTGACTAACCCAGAAACCCAATTAAAGGTTAAAAACCCCTTCATCGCCAATGTTCCTCGGTGCTGTTTCAGGCTCCTCCGCCGCTGGCAGAGGGGACCTAGTGAGCATGTGCGGCAAGTGCCGTGCTCGCATTAGGACTTCCCCCGTAGGAAAGCCTTAAACAATGTTTTCCTAATGGGGTTTGGGTAATGCTGATGTCATCATGCAGAGCGTGTGGACGTCCAGCAGCAGGTGACCAAACCACCTGGAAGTCCCTCTAGTGGCTGTTTGGTATACAGTCACTAAGAGATGGAGTTAACCCTGCAAGGTAATTGTAGCAGTTTATCAATAACCATATAATAACTACAATTGCATGTTTAAGGGGCCTGGGACACTTCACCCTGACCACTTCAATGAGCCAAAGAGGTTTGGGTGCTTATAATGTACCTTTAATGTAATTGCTCACAAATATTTTTTTACTTTTTTTTTTTTTCTTGTTGATTTCTTCACTTTTTTGGTCACATGAACTTACCACCCTTCAGAGTCACATGGACGATGGTGATTGGCTAAGAGTATCAGCTGATCAATATCAGCCTGTCATAGCAGCCCTTTCCTTTGCCGATATGAGTTGGTATTGCTTGAAGGTTTAATCTCTGCTTTAGCCATATCTCAAGTAGGGGCTGGGCTGTGGGGACCAGAAACATTCTTTGTGTTGCTTGAAAATGGTTTAACATAGAAATTCAGTGAGTTGAAGTGGTTATAGTGCCTAGTGTCCCTTTTAATAGACTATGGATAAGAGCACTTTATTTTTTAAATTGTCCTTTTGAATCCAGTGAGTCCATAACAAAGTTCCCACAATACTAATACTGAATTTTATTTAAACAAGGGTCAGAGAAAAGTACTGTATCTACAAGGATTTAAAAAAATCAAAAAAAAATCTGCTTTACTGTGCAGGGTCAGTAAAACTATTTTTAAATACTTACCCGTAAATGTGCTGTCTCTTAATCTAATGTACACTGAAAGTGGGTGGTTGTTGGGATTTTTTGTTTTGCTTACTTTAATCTTCACAAGGGTTGAGCAAATACCTTGTTGTGCATATCCTGAAATGGCTAATAAACAGCTTCTTTATTCATAGGGAAATGTTTGTGCTATATTTTTATTACACAATAGCATGTTTGCAACATACCATATCTATGATGTATTGCACTGCAACAAATACTGTACATTGTTTACACGTGTACTGTATGCACATTTTGGTGAACGAGTGCTAGATTAGTGTGTCACTAAATGTATTGTATGTCGTACCAGTGGAAATCTACTAAAACCTACTTAGGAACCCATTTTTGTTGGTTACAATCCAAGATTAAAGGAAGCTGCAGTTATATAGTAGTTTGAAAGTATGTCCCTCTTTCACACTTTTTATACAAGTTATGTTCTCAAGAAAAATCATAATTTTTATAAAGGTTCTAAGTTGCACCCTCTTTGGTGTCAGCCGAGAGTGTTCTTCCTCTCATGATTTTCTCCAGCACAGAGTGGAAGCCAAAAGTTCTCATAGGACACCTGTACCCTCCATCCCAGTGCATTTCTGTGAGAAGGATTCTGCTTTCTGGAAGATCATTAGTACTGATGATCTCACTGTGGATGACGCAGAGCTGCAACTAGATAGTCTCACCACTGGATTAGGGGATAAGGTAACCCCTTTTTTTCAGAAAGTGGAGTGCAAAAGGTGTCACTTTTCAGGCCCTTCAATATAGATCACTGTGGCTCCCTTACGTATGATAGACCTTACCGACAGACATCTGGCCCCAGTCGTCTGTAGCTTATAGCGTTTAGGTGTCTTAGATTCAGTTACAAATTTATTTTAGAAACTGTTATTAGAAATTATTCTAGTTTATAATCTTGAATTTCTTTTCTCACAAAGTTACAGTGACTCTTGAATACAGACACCTCCCTGGGGCCCAGTGTGGAGCAGCTCCTCACTCCTTCCGCCCGCTGTTTAGTATGCTGGGGCCGGAATGATGTCATATTCCGGCTCCCGGCATCACAGAGGGCGTGCGAGGGTGGAGTGAGAGGCTGCAAGAAGAGCCTCCCTCGCCGTCTGCCTGCTCCATCCCCTATCCTCCGGTCACCGGCATTTGATGGCAGAGCAGGCACCTACTCTGCCATACTGTGAGAGGGCTCCTCTGGGCGCCTGGAGTAGTTGCCCAGCACTGGGGGGGAAGGGGTGGCTCTAGAGTCGCTCGCCCAGCGCTGCGGCCCAGGACAGGGGGGCCCAGCAGGCCTAGTTCACCTAACGGTGGCGCCAGTCCTGCTTGAGTTGTTCCCCTGCTATATGATGTACTGTATAGCTGTAGTCCACAGATTCTTTCGTTCGCACTGTCTGTTTGTAGCTCCATAAAAGTTGAAAGGAGGAGTATAAAGATTTCTTGTTTACGGGCAACAAATGGCTTTCTCCTAACTTAAACCTAAACCATGAAATTGCTGAGTTAACCTTTTAAAATGTAACAAGTCTGCAATATATGCTACCACACAGCTAGAATGTATAATAAATAATCTATCCACAAAAGGAACCTGGGAGATGAATGTGAATGTGAAATAACACTAGTGTTCCTTATCTAACAATCCATATCTCTGTGTGTGACTGAGCTCTATGACTTTAAATGCCTGGAATTGTTTTCAGCCAAGACTGTTCTAGGGGCCGGTCTAAACTTTAACGGGGTGGCGTTTCTCCATTGTAATTTTTAACAGAATATTTCCATTTTTGGCTTTATATTTATTACCTTAAATTTGAAATTTATGTTGAATTCTCAGTTTAGTGAATAGTGGCATACGATGAGCATAAATTCAAGTGTTTTTATTTTAACTTAAATTTGGTCAGTGCATGAATATTTCTCATTAATGTCCTGGAAAACCTAGTTATAACCTACTGTACGTGTGTTTCTAGGTAACATGCCTCTGCATCGTGGCTCAGTGTGATGGTATTTTTGTACCATGTATTGTAAAGCAATCCAAGCCTGTTATTACAGCAGCAATCAAATCATTTTGTGGTACCAGGCATAGCAGATTATTGTAGGGTTATGGCTTTTGTCTACTATGAGTTGCATGAATAGATGCAAATTGCTAATGCACTAAAGCTATATTGAAATCATTGCTAGAATATAAATGTTTTTTTGCCTTGAAACTAGGAAATGTGATCCCTTGAATGACTATCCTGCTAATTGAGTTATGTCATTTCATCAGTTTCGATTTAAACTTTAACTATTACTATTCTTTACCAAGAATAGTAGTAATTTTACAATATCATTACCACTTCTAAAATAACAAGCAAAGAAGAAAAAAAAAATAAAAAAATTTGTTATCCACAATAAATACATAAACCAATATTAATCTACAACCTCATTAAAATAACTAAGTAAAGCAAAACACCGCACTGCACCAATCAGCATCTCCTCATTGAGATAAACTGGTAAACTGATTCTATGCATCTCTATGGGAAATGTTGAGCGTCTCCATGCCGAGCATTGTTGTGCAGCACTACCCCAGGAATCACCTCGAGTGGCTGTCTGAGGAGTGGCTACTAGAGGTTTTCCTAGGCTGTTATGTAAACGCTGCCTTTTCTATAAAAAGGCAGTGTTTACATTAAAAAGACTGAATATCATCACCAGAACCACTACATTAAGCTGTAGTTGTTCTGGTGACAATAGTGTCACCTTAATAATAGATGGATCTCTAATTTGGTATCCTTGTGTGGATTATTAAGAACACCGTTTGGTTGGAGTAACCATTCCAAGACTGGACTGCCCCACCCAAACTTAAAAAAAATAAATGTAATGTTTTCCCTGAAGCCCGATCTTCCTCCGCTGTCATCACTCCACATCACTGAAAGGCAGGCTTATGGGGAGGACATGTAACATGGTTGGAGGTGCTGTGCCAGCATTGGCTGTCTTGCACCAGTATGCTGTGTGCCAGACGCCAATTTTGCACAAATCTCTTGTTCCGGGCTGGTTAATGCCTTCCAATAATGTGACTTGTGGGGGAGCAACATCAGCAGCAGAGTGGTTAATTTCCATATGTGCTGTGTTTCACAGAGAAAACATTTACTCTGCATTTTGAGTTTGTGCCACTTGTTGAGTATTATATCTGCAATGTGTATTCACAGTAGTTATTGTTGGGGAAAAAGTGCCTCAAATGCTTAGTGCCATGTCAGGCAGTGAGTTTGGTTACTGTGCAGATTCCTGTTTCACAGGGCTTACCTTAAGGGCTAGAAACCAGAAAATATAAGCAATATTTTGTTCAAGACTATTCAGTCTTGCAATTATTTAATAAAATTTTTATTTATTTTTTACTCAGCTGAGCTCTTTCAAACATGTTGTTTAGCTGACAGCCTGGATTGCTTTCCTTGTCTGCAATGGCTGTAAAACCATAATATTTAGAGCTTGCAATATAACTGGGTGCCGCCCAGCAGCAATGTACACATTAAGCTTTATTGTGTATGTATTTTATATGTATGCATGCATATAGCTCTATATCTGATTAACGTTTCAATAGTGTATTGAAAGCAACATTCCTTTTTTAAAATTGTTTTAACAAAGTTCGTGGAAATAAAAAAAATCAAATTTTTTATTGAAGGTGTTTTTAAAAATGGATGTTAAAATTGTCTTTATTCCAGCACCAAAATGTATCACTGCAGTCTTATCCAATCTCCCTGAAGTAAATAATCCTGATAAATTATGTCCAGTCAAATGCTTCTTATAAGAGGCCCTCAAGATCTATTTATCAATCGCTGTCTGATAGCTACTACTAGGTGTAAAAATTGCAAAGTGTAAATACTGCCTTATTTTTTTATTTTGAAATGAAATATTTTAAATTCTAAATTCTACCAAATCAATAAACCTAGACTTTATTCATAGAGCAATATAGAAAGGTGGGGTTTCCTTTAACTGACTAAAGTACTTAAAAACCTCATAGTTTGCATGCTCCTTTTACTAAATATCTACAACTTGCTTTTGCAGATGCTGTGGTGAACTCGTTTTCTTTTCTGGATGACTCTGGAACTGCAACTTTGAAATCTAGACCTGGACCCAGGGCCAGACCTGTGCTTCAGTTCTCAACTAGTGTAAGTATCTGACATGGAATATTACAATGCACAGCATCGTTTTAAATGGTCATATTTCTCAATCCCAATTACATGTAAAATAGTCCAGAACAGTCTCACTAGAGCAACAATGCTTAATGGAATATCGATGAGTTGATTTTTCAGTAGGGGTGGGTGCGTCCTTATGTCTCAGGGTATTCGCATATTTGAAAAACAGAGAAACCGGGGCAACCAGTAGTGCAGTATGCCTAAAATCCAGAGGGTAAGATAGTAGTAGAAGGTAGAAAACTTGAATTTAAAAGAGCTATGGCCAGCTCTGGTGTGAAGGGCGTACAACGGTATAATCCCCACTGCTGGGTTGTGTAAAGGAAATGCGTCTATCAGTGCCGTCTGGTCATCCGAAGCTCCGGGGGAAATAAAGAGGCGACAATAGTGCTCTCAATTGGATAAAAGTAAGTAAAAGTAACTAGAATAATACTTGCATGTGTAGAGCAGAAAATACTGCTCTATTAATAAGGTGTTGGTGGTATGATCCCCACCTGGGATTTCTTTAAAGGACCACTATAGGCACCCAGACCACTTCAGCTCAATGAAGTGGTCTGGGTGCCAGGTCCATCTAGGGTTAACCCTGCAGCTGTAAACATAGCAGTTTCAGAGAAACTGACCATTCCATTTATTTATTCCTTGTTAGTCCAACAAGTTAGCAGCCTTGAAAAAAAAAGATTAATTTCTAAAACAAGGGTCAGAGTGGTAAAGCCAAAATGAGTTTCCTCATAGTGGGGATCTACTTGGTACTTTTCTGTAAGACAACAAAATAAGGCAGTCTGCCTTCACCCAGAGGTTTTTGTAGCGCTTCCATAAGCACAATACAGGCATATTTACCTGGGATTACAAAAGGAACTTTGTAACTGTGCCACATTGTCTGTGTCCCAACACATGCTTGAAAATGCAACTTACTTTTCTTGGTTAAACATTTTCTAAATAAGTAAATATTGAAATTCTGATGCTAAGGTCTAAAGTGGACATCTCAATTCACAACTCCTGTCTTTCTGGTTTTCTGTGTACATTACATTAATAGCTGGTTTTATAACCAGGTAGAGAGAACCATAGATCACGTTTTATTTTGCATTAAGCTTTTTCTAATTTGACTAGAATGTATTGGTGATGAATAGATGCACTATTCAAGAAAATGTTCTTAACCAGCAGAATAGCACTCAAATTCTCTAATGAATCTGTTGACCTTAAGATGAGCTAGTAACATCATAAACTAGTAACATTTAACAGGTTTAGTGCGAGGGCAGGATTTATGTGTATGTGTATATGTATGTGAGTGTAAAAAAACAGATAAAACTTTGTAATACCTTTTTATTGGACTAAGAGTTTTTTTTAATGACAAGCTACCAGGAGAACCTTCCTTTATCAAGTCTAAAGCATTTCTGAGCAAGACAACACATAGAATTCAAAGTTGAGTTGTGATACAGGGGTTAAAGCAACATGAGTGCAGGTAAGACAGGTTTGATAGAACATAGACACCATTCTTGCAGAGGGTCCTAAATATCTTATGTGAAGATCATAGAGTGAGGGGGGGGGGGAAGAGTATTAATATAAAGAATGCATGAATTCCTATCCAAGAGTTACAGGATATACATGAAGGCCTATATCCAGCATACACACCCCAAACTCATGTACATGTACACAGGGCCCGTCACTCCAGGGGGCCCTGCCGCCATGCGGACCCCTGCGACCGGGTACCCCCTGCCATTTTTTCCGGCCCGCATGGCAAACCGCTAAGGCCGCTGTCCAAGTGTTCCATTGGGTGACCCATGCTGTTCGGGCCACACGATGGAGATGGATTGACAAGGGGCCAGGTCAGCGCTGCGGCGCTTTAACAGCACGACCAGGCCCCCTGTGATGAGATCACACCCTGGGAGGAATTGACTGCATGTCACTTCTCCCAGTTAACACACACAGCCTGCACGGGAGGAAGCAGAGGTAGTCAGAATGGGAACTCTGACTCACATCAACCTGAGCCACCACTGGACCCCAGGGAAAGTCACCCTCCTGCACCTAAAAGGTAGGAAACAGGAGGGGGACTTAAACATAGTCTGTCTGTGTGTCTGTCTGTATGTATGTGTGTGTCTCTCTCTGTGTGTGTGTCTGTCTCTGTCGGGGGGAGGGAGGCGGGGGTGGGCATGGATCAGTTTCGCACCGGTGGGCCCCATGGATAGTGTGTATGCCACTGCATGTACATACACAGTATACATACAATATACATATAAATACAACCAAATGCCCAAATATATGTACATGCACACATACACATAATCCACACCCAAGCACCAATACATGTACCTACACATACCAATGTGCCTACACATACATAGACCCATATATATATATATATATATGTACACATACACCTATTCACATATACATACGTGTGTGTGTGTGTGTGTGTGTGTGTGTATATATATATAATATGTGTATATATATGTGTATATATATGTATACATACATGCTCATATACACAAATATAAATGCACAGTCACATATTTAAACATGCATGCATAAGTCTATACATAGTACTTTGTATATAGATGGAATAAACATATTGGTATGCATTAAAATGTTGATACATATAACAGAACAGAAAGATAATGCTGGGGGAGTGTTCATGTAAAGTGTTGGTAGTGGGACAGGAAACCCAAATCAATATTTTGTCGTTTGTTCTTGCTGTTAAACAATTTGATCATTCTGGCTTTAAAATGGTTTCTGTCTTGGGTATTTTTAAAAACCCCTTTCAGTACTTTTGATTTTTAGGTCCTTCATTGAGTGGCCAGGCTGGGTCTCACAGGAGTGCAGTACGGTTTTTCTTTGTGGTGTTTAATGGAGTGTCTGTGCATATTCATTCTGCCATTTAATTGCTGGGTGGTTTCCCCAATGTAGCATCCTAGGTGGCATTTGGTGCATTGAATCATATATACCACATTGCTGGATGTGCAGGAGTATTAACCTATGCTGTAGGTTTTATTGTTGTGTGAAACTGTGTTGTCTGCATATGTGCTGACACCGTTTGCAGCAAGGTTTTTTGCATTGACTGGTCCCATTTTAATTATTCTTCCCATCAGTGGGTAGCTTCCTTTTGTTTGATTTTTGTTGGAAGTTTTGTGGTTGTCTGAAGGCCAAGATGGGTGTTTCAGAGAAAATGTTTTTTCAGAGTCTCATCTTCTGTTAACATTGGTTGTAGGTCTTTAATGATTTTCAGTATTTCGTCAAGACCTGGGTTGTAGGTGGCACTCGTGCAGATATATTTTTTTTTCTCTGTACTGAATCAGGCACGTGCATGGAGTTTTTACAGTAGAGTTGATTCGTTTGGTAATAGTCTCTGGTTTGTAGCCTTTCTGTCTCATAGATTGGGAGAGTACATTTTAGATGGGAATTACGGTCATTAGGATCAGAGCATATGCAATGGTACATAGTGGCTTGGTTGTAGTTGATGCCCTGTTTAGTATGGGAGGGGTGGAAGCTGGAGCTGTGTAGGTAACTGCACCTGTCTGTGGGTTTACTGTAAACCGAGGTGTGGATTGTGCCATTGTTCCATGTCACAGTGGTGTCCAGAAAATTCACAGATCTAGTGGAATATTCCATTTTTAGTTTGATGGATGGAATGTGTTGAGTCATGGAACTGTATCAGTTTTTCTTTGCTTTCAGTCCAAATTATGAAGATATCATCGATATAGCGATAATATTTGTATGGTTGGGTGTACTGTATTTCTAGGAATCTCTGTTCAAGATCTGCCATAAACAGATTAGCATGTTGGGGTGTTATCGTAGTGCCCATGGTTTGTAGGTAAACCTCTTTGTTAAAAACTGAAATAATTATGTGTGAGGATGAATAGTGCCAGTTCTGTGATAATTCACGGGCTGAATTTTTGGTTGTCGGCATAAAAGAGGAAATGGAAGCTAGCATTGATGCCATCTGCATTGGTGATTTGGCTGAGTTTATTAAGGAAGTCGGTTGTGTCTTTTATGAAGCTGTTGGTGTTGGTGACTAGAGGTTTTAAGGTATTTTCTACCAGTCCTGAGATCTGTAATTATGGGTCTTCCTGGATTACCTGCTTTGTGGATTTTGGGAAGCATATAGAAAGTGCCCATGTAGGGACTAGTTGGTATGAGTAATTGCAGTTCTAGATGTGAATTCTCAGGGAAGGATTTAATGAGCTCCCTAAGTTTTAATGTATATTCCTTGGTGGGGGTCTTAATTTTAGTTTTCTATAGTATTTGTCATCTGACAGTTGCCTGTCCCCCTCTTTTATATAGTCCTGTGTGTTTATTATCACTACTGCTCTTCCCTGGTCTGCTGTTTTGATGGTGATAGCATGATTATTTTTCAAGTCATTTATAGCCGTTTGTTCCTGTACTCAGATTATGAAACCTTTCCTTTTGCTTGGTTGTCAAGGATACTGTTCTTAGACGGAAACTTTCAATGCAACTGTCCAGTTTGGCATTTCGTGCTGGATTGAAATTAGTGTTCTTTATCCTGTTATCCATTGTGGTTCAAGTGCTCTCTTTGTCATGGAAGTATTCCTTAAGTCGCATCCTTCTGAAAAATTCTTCCATGTCAGAGTAGAGTCCAATGTCATAAAGTTTTGTGCTAGGGCAAAATGACAATCCTTTGGAGAGAACTGATGCTTCTGAGTCAGTTGATAATCCGAAATGTTAACAATACCCGATTTCTCTTGCCATTTCTCTTTCTCTGCCAAATGGTCGTGATAATCTGGAGTCTGATGAGATTATTATTTTTCTTCTTAAAAAAAATCCTGTTGTTGCTTTTTGTAAATATAGTGTAGATCATGTTCTAGTTGTTCAGCAATATATATTATCCTCGCGTAGATATTGTTTGTTGTATGCTATATTTCTTGTTGTAGAGCTGGTGGATGAGATGGTTCCTTAGTTTCTCACTAGTGCATTTATACAGGTTTTCAGCATACTGCGATTTGTGTATAGTAGCAAGTGAATTTTTGATTTTTAGGCCTTTGGGGATCAGCTGTCTTTTCATGCAGATGGATAGAAAGTGTATGTCGCTGTTGAGCTGTACTTCTTTTGTGGTCATCTTCTAGATTTGCTTTGGTAGATATAAAGGTCCCTGCCCACAGGCTCAAACTATATCAATGCCAGGTGCCAGCCAGGACTAGCAAATCCAAATGAATGAAGGAGAAAGCTGCACTCACGGTCTTCCTTTACAATTTCCAAGTATTTGTTGGATATGCATTAAAAATAAACGTTTCAGTCCTGCTTCAAGGCTTTCAAGTACAATCCAAGACAAATATATAGGTAAGAAATAAGTGGAAAATAAACTCCCTACAGGTGCTGTGAATTGCCAGCGGCATCCTTCTGGGTTACTGGTGCATGTGCATTAAAGCTCTGCCCCCAGACATGACATGATGCCGTATGTGCGCTACTGCGCTCGTCACGTCGCCTTGGAAACACGGCATACAAAATAGCCGCTGCCATGGCGATGGCTGAACGTTTAGAAGTGAAAAACGAGGAATAGTGGAAGCATCCAAATGTCAGAATTTCTGAAATTCATCCGCATTTGTATTCGGGACGAAATGAATTGCACATGTCTATTAATGCTTATTTTATGTGGGGTATATATGTATACACACGTTAAGTTTTCACCTGAGGAAGACCTAAATTGGTTGAAATGCGTTGTGCTCCTGTTTTCTTGTTTATTTGAATATTTTATGTTTTATCACAATAAATTTCTTACCTGGTTCCTGACTCTTCCTGGATTTACTTCAGCTCCAGTGGTACCATATTTGCTGCTTATTATCCCTATGGTGGATGAACTGCGCTTATAGTTTAGAGCCAACTTTTAAAGGCTCTGATAATTGTGTGTTCCATTTTTACCCTGGAATTCTATTACTGTGTATTACATGTTACACTATGATATTTTTTATGCTTATGCTATGCAGGATCAAATTATTTTACTGAAAAAGGTTTGTTATATAACTAAAGTAAAATATAATAATTGTTTGCGCTTTCACCTTTTGCACTTAGTTGTATCTATTTGAGTGTATTTAGTGACAATACGTTCAGGTGTGTTTTGTGCTGCACTGAGCTATATAGTTAAATAACACCACCTACACCTTCATTTTCCAGGTTTTGTTATTTAATTTACTGTTGGTCGTAAAGTGTCTATCACCTTCTGGGGTCTTTGTATAATAAGTGGGAGTTTTACTAACCTAAACCTGCTGCCATGATCTTCCTGCTGCTCCTCTTCAGCTCCGGTACTTGATCTGCAAAGAGCTCATGTTGGTAGTGTAGTCTTGCGCATGTGTGAGAATACCGTACAGAGGTCTATGGATGATCCTGCGAGACTATAGGATCATTTTATAGATATTGTCTTGTGAGGAGTGAGATTATACCTTATTCGCTAGCAAAGGCTGGGGGAAGTGACGGTAGACAAAGGTCTTTGTCAAGTTTTGTCAAGCATAGAAAAAAAAATACATAAGGTGACACAGTCCCTACTTTGCCTTATGTATATTAGTAGAAATAGAACAAAAAAGGACAGTTTAGGAGTAAGGAAGAGGAACAGATAGAAGTTGGGTAAGTATAGGCTAACAGGGCCGCTTTAAAAAAAAAAAAAAGTCTTCAATTATTACAAGGCAATATCTCTGTTATCAATTTCTGTTTTCTGGCTGGCACCCTTCCCTTTCTTAAAGGGATACACCCACACATGATTGTTACAGCTAGTTGTGCTTTTTTTTTTTTTTAATTTGGCATCAGTCACTTCCTCGTTTAGTGTTTGCAAAGGTCTGCTGTACATCACTAAATTAAGCTATCTGACACTAGACTCCAATGAGATGGGCACACAGGCTTCTGAATGTTTTTAAGACTGACCATGGGAATTACTGAAGCCCCCTTTTTCCACCACAAAAAGTCTGTTTTGAGAAATCTGATTTGTTTTAATGGGAGTACTACCCTCAATCATTTCCACTGACTTTTGTGTTTTTTTTTTTTTGTTTTGTTATTTTCCAGAACACAGACACACAGGGATTGGCAGTGCCAACACCATCCATTCCAGCTACTTTTCCTGACAATGGGTACCAAGGTATGAACTGAAAATTTTGTTTTATGGCAAAATAAATAAATAAAAATGTTTATAAATAAAGTGTGTGTGTGTATATAGGGTTTGGTATTCTGAAAAAAGTATGTTTTGCTTAGCTACTTACACAATTCAGCCATCTAAAAGAGACTGAGACCCGGCACAACACTACACAAAACAGATTATATATTTTTTTTGTACCCTTCAAAATGTGAATACGCAATAAATATGTCTAATGATGTTGAACAGAGAATGAAAAATATATTGCTTAGCAGGGCTGCCATCAGGAATGTTGGGGGCACCTAACACAGCTCAAGGTCTGGGCCCCTCGGGGCCTGCCTCCAAATCCTGCCCCCAGGGCCCGCCTCCAAATCTTCCCAAATGGAAGCAGTGTTTGTAGAGTGGATACAGGGTGTGTGTTTTGTGGATGCAGTGTGTGTTTGTGTATTGGCTGCAGTGTGTGTGTTAGTGCATGTGTAGTGGCTGAAATGTCTGTGTAGTAGATGCAGTGTTTGTGTGTGTGTGTGTGTGTGTGTGTGTATATATCTCTCTCACACACACACACACACACACACACACAATTTGTGTTTGAATGTAAGAATGTTCTTGTATGGAGTACCCTGATACAAAAGGACACAGACATATAGGCATACTGACATACACATACAGACTGACAGTCTCCCAGCAATTATACGGCCGCAGCGCTGACGGGCCCTGGAAGATATATGGCCCACCGGATGACCCTAAATACTTGGGCTATACGATGGGGCCCTATCAGCGTGCGGGCCCCTGGTGCAGTTCCGCCTCTACACATGGGACCAGGCGGCCCCGATGGCAGCCCTGTTGCTTAGTTTGGAAACCCATCCGTGACTTAAATGTTTGTGTGTAATATATGTAAAATGTATGTATTTTCAAATACTGTGATTTATATTTGTTTCTAATAGTAGTAGACACTCTACTTATAATGGCTAACCATGGGTTATCAATTTACTTTTCTACTTAAGGTAATGGGTCAAAATTAAATGGAAACTACCGAATGTGCAGCTCAGTTGGAGATTTGAGACAAATGAACTACTATGAAGACAACCTTGATGAAGAAATCCCTGCACCACCATCTGTGCCGCCACCTCCTCCACCAACCATGCCACCACCTCCTCCCCCTATTCTACCTCCACCTAACGAGAGTCCACCATCATCTACAATATCCTCTCCAGCTTCTCCAAGCCCACCTGACTTTATACCACCAACACCAAATTATTCTACGCCTGTGGTACAAAATTCTGTTGCTCCTGTTCCCACCAACATTATGTCAGTGGGTGAACAACACCAGCAAATGCAAAATGCCACCAAGTGGAAATCTGAAACTCGTCTCAATTCATTACCAACAGATGGACCTGTGGGTTTGCCTAATCGTTTTTCCTTAAATCCGAATATACTGTATAAACCTGGGCAGACAAACCATTACGCAGAACCTCATTCTACATTGCCACGGTCCTTCAAAATTCCTCCTCCTGCCCCAACTAGGATCTCTTCTATGCAAACTATGTTCCAGCAAAGTGATTATACAAATATCAATAATGCAAACGAACCTCCAAGCTCACCAGTTCCCTCAAGTTTTAACCCTAATGTCCAAGCAAAGCTCTTCACTATCGCCCAAGGACAAAAATCTTTAAATGATACATTAAACAAGAGAAAATCCATGCTAATAATGGAAGATCCACACTCTGCTATTCAGAGCATAGATCAAATAATTGAAAAGGCTGCTAATATGGAGTCAACTGGAGTTGAACAAAAGTTTAATTCCATTGTAATTAACCAAAAAGCATTAAATCCATCACCAATGGTTTCAGTTAAAAATCAGACTAATGCAGAATCTAAACGTCCTCAGAACAGTACAGAGTTTAATAATATCACACATGAGGTGGTCAATGACTCAGAATATCTGTCTGAAGCCCCACCCACACCACCACCACCTACAGCCCCTCCACCCCCACCACCATCCATGGCTCCGCCAAGTCCACCATTGGTGCCTCCACCACCTGTCTCAAGAGCACCAGCAATACCATCTACAGGTTCACCTGCTCTATCTCCAATAACACCAGCATTGAATCCTCCAGTGGCTCCACCTGCGCCTACATATATTGCTCCCTTGCCTACTATTTCTCAAAAGTCTCCTTCACTGTCTAAAAAAAGTGGGATAATCACTCCTGCACCACCATTAATGGTTCCCCCACCTCCACCACCTAAGGCACCCCCAGCACCTCCACCATTACCACCACCTGCAACTCCATCTAACCAATCCTCACAGCAACCTTTACTCAAGGCACTGCAGGCAAGAGAGGAAAGTCTTAAACAGATTCAGAGAAAGAATAAAATTGAGATTAAACCTGCTGAACCACCTTTGAACTTGAACAATGATGATGATCAGAAAAATAGAGTTGGTAAAATCAAGGAAGAGCTGGAAGCCCTCTTGTCATCACCAAAGAAAGATGACAAGAAAATGTTCAACCTCAATAATTCACGACCAGGAATGGAAGGAAATAAGAAGCATCTTAATGTCAAGAGTGGAGAAAATACATTGGTTAACTCTTTAATGTTGAAAGTCCCTCTCTTACCTTCCAAACCTGAGAAAGAGGATACTGATGCAGATAACTCTGAGTGGGTTCCTAAAAGTAACAATAAGGATATTAAAATTCCTGAGCCAGACTATTTTCCACTCAGAAATACAAAAGACTCTGTTTCTAAAACACCTCCTATAGAAGTGAAAAATACCCCAGTATTCCCACCTCCAGTGCAGGTACCGCCTTCACCACCAAAAGCAACAAATATATCAAATATTGGAAATAATCCAGTGACCTCATACAAGGCACATCATCAAAGGAAAGCTTCAGCAGGTAGCTGGACATTTGATACAGAGTCATCAAAATCCGATACAGGGCCAAGTGTAGAGAAAGATAATGTCTCTGAATCTGAAGAAATCCCATCACCAAAACAAACGTCCACACAATCTCCAACTTCTCCACATGACAGTGTACATGAACATCCTAGTACTGGAGAAAAAATTGATGCTGGATCACCAATGGCATTGCTATTGGCAGCAAAGAAGCGTGCCCAAAATGGACCACGAGCTCGATCTACCGACCGTAGTAGTTTGCCTAAAGTTTCTGTTACAAATGGATTCGTTACCAGTTCATTCACCTCTCAGCATAGAGATGGGAATACAAACACTTTTGTTGTTGTGCCCAATCAAGAGACTAGACGACAGGTTTCTCAAGAAGGTGGTTTGGTTTCTCTAAGTGACACTTCAACTGGAGCTAATCGTATGAGCATTGATACAGAAAGCTCTCAAAGTAAATCAAGCTGGAGAAACTTTGAATTTCAAACCTCAAATGTAGGTGGTGCACCTCCGTTCAGAGAGGATGAAGTCTTCAGAGGTCAAAGGACACAATATGACAGAATTATGGATATTTCTGTAAATCCAGACATACTGACCAAAAGTGATGACTATCGGAGTTACAAATCAGAACTCCAGCATAGTCAAATGCAGTCTAGAATTGATTCTCCAGTTTCTAACAACATGTTGCACCAGAATGACTTACCCCACTTTAATATTTCCTCTTTTCCATCCCCCACTCCAGCCCCAAAACCCATTGAAGACCTGGAGTTTAAAATTATTCCACCTCCTGCAGAATTCATGAACAGTCCAGAGCCAAGTATGAATGATCTTGGTAAGCAAAACAGAACATCGATTTATAGTGATGGTATGAAGTCTGATTTTGGCATGCCAATCAATGAATTCAATTCTAGAACAAATAATTCCTTGGCATCACAAACAACTGAAAGCACCAGGGATTACAATAGATACACTAGTACTGATTACAATACTGGAGTCACCAGAGATTCACATAAAAGCTCTCTCATTAAGAAACGATTGTATATGCCTGAGCCAGAAGCCCCTAGAAATTATGGAAAAAACACAAGTTCTTTAAGATCTTCTTCAGGTTTGTCCATGCCTTACAGTCAAATGCAAATTCAGTCTAGTTCCACTATGGCTGCAGACCCACGTCGTTCCACTGCTCCTACATCAAGATACCTTGCACAGGGCAGGAGAGTGTCCTCTGAAAATCTAAATAGAATGGCACCTGTGAATGACCTGAAATACAAACCTTCAAATCCAGAATATCCTGTCAACAAAGCCACAACCAGGTACAGTTTACAGTTTAATTTGATAGATTATAAGTATTATAAGATTATAAATTCTCAACCCCCTAGTAACCTCACCCTAAAATTAGTGAGGGGGAGACAATAAAACTAAATACCTGAAAAAGAAAAATCATACTTACCATTAGAAGTCTTTTTTTTCTAAACCTTCTTTTTTTCAGCCCCAAAAAAACCATAATACCCGTCGAACTTATCAAGTACAAAAAAAAAACCTGAGCGCCCCCCAAAAAAAATCAAACATGCTAAAAATTAATCCATCTTCACTCGGCGAGGGCATGGTGCAGACTGAACGGGGCGGGGAAAGGCTTAGAAAGCTTGGAATCCAACCAATCAGAGTGCTAATCATTTTACACAGTGTGGGAAAATGCCCCCCCCCCCCTTATTGTAACTTAGGGCCCCCACCCTCATGGGTGAGGGCCAGGGGGAGGACAATAGGTCCATCCCCCCATTTTCATTTAGGGCCCCCACCCCATTTAGTTACACGGTCTACAAAACTGCAATGTTTTACAATGCAGGGTGACAGCGGCTCTGTCAAAATCTGAGGACTTTGCATAATTTGCAAGACCTCCAATGGTAACTTTGTTGCTGGGGTCCAGTGGCCAGGGGGGCCGGCAAAGGTGAGTTTAACTTACCTGAACCTGTCCATCGTGGGTGCCACAATCTTCGTTTTCTCTATAGATGGTGCCAACTTCTTGTGGCTATTTCTGGTGCCTGTTGGGGGGTTGACACTTCTAGATGACAGTAGCTCCACCAAATGTAAGTGTCAGGCATAGGCAAAATACTGAGGCAAAGTAGCCTTTACTTTATTGCAGTATATCTTTTGACTGAGTTGGCATTTCAGTGAAATTCCAACACAGTCAATATGAGCGTTTCATAAAGACGTTGTTTTCCGCTTTAAAACTACAACTTTGTTGATGTTAATTGGTCTGGTGACTTTTCTGGTACTTTTAAAAAAAGACCAGTCATGACCTTTTGTGAAAAGCAAAAACAAAACTCTGGGAGCCTGGGAAGACATGCAAGCAACACGCAGATTGCGGAGAAAGTTAGGGAACAGATATGGACCAGGAAGACTGGGGAGACATTTAGGGAAAAGACAGGCTAATTGAACATTTACGGAGAAGACACTGGGAGATAATTATCCAAACGAGAAACAAATTAAATATTTGGGAAACAGAGCGACCTTTTTTAGGAGAAAAGACGCAGTGAACAGACGTTTAGGATAACACACGCGCACACATACATTTTAATTTATATAAACCCCCAATGTCTCGTACACCGTCACAACAGTTTACATATAGTCACACTATATACATATACACCAATTTAAAATCTGCACAATATAATCAGTGTCCTTATCCTTCAGATGAGCCATACCTGAATGCAGTGCCTGGGGGAGAAGGGAGCCAGTCTTTAGGAGATTCATTCTGTTTCTAATGTGTGTACAGGAGAGCTGTGCACTCTGAACACAGGTTCAGTATCACAGAGTAGAGTCATCCGCTCCGAGAAGAGGCTGCTCAGCATGGGAGATGCTATGCTTGAGGGTGGCCATGGAGCCTTTAAACCAGCACTCACACACAGAGTGCCCCCCCACAGGTCATTGCTCCTATTAAAAAGTAAACCTGGAGATATACTAAATTCTAAGTACGTGTAATCCTAGAGCTATATTCCCTCTAAAGGGATGCACATAGAGGTCTAAATTCCAACATCCCTGGTATTTTGTTCATTCCTGTGAAGACCGTTCTGGACCATATAAAGTCAGATGTGTGCAGAATCAGTAGGCATGCACAATGGGTGTGGCAGGTGTGCTTAGACAAACCCCATAATGCAGGGCCAAATGGTTCTCTCTTTCTCCTTGTTTATAATGGGCTTTAAAGCCGTTGTGGCGGCATAGAACGTCGTAATGGCTTTCTACCCCTGGAGCTCCGGTGGACTTACCTCTGCCACTATCCTCTTCGAGAGGACTGCCTGACAGCCCAGGTAGCCCACCTACGGCAAATCAGGCCCCCGGGGGGCCATGTGATTGCTCTCAAAGAGCGATCACGTGGCCCCCTATAGCTGGCTGTGGATCTGCCAGCAGGGGGACTGTCTGGCCTGTCAGACAGTCCCCATGCTGGTGGGTAGTGTAAAAAATAAAAATAAAAATGTTGTTATTTATTTAACTTATTTAAAATAAATTAAATGTGTGTGTGTGTGTGTGTGTGTATATATATATATATATATATATGTAACGTCATATGTAGTTTTTTTAATATAAGTACATATATTAGTATTAAAATACACTTAGAATGAAGTTGCATATATATATATTACATATATATTATATATATATATATATACCTATAATTACAATAATAAATAAAATATATAAAAAAAATTATATAAAATATGTAATTTCATTCTAACTGTATTTATTTTATTAATATATAGATAACAAAATACACTTAGAATATATATATAGAGAGAGATAGATATATATTGCAAATATTAGAGAAAATGTACTGATACCGTAATTTTATTTTCCTGGCTTTTATTCATGGCAGTATTTAACATATGGGTTTAGCACCTCCCTCTAGCCCTCAGGACAGGAAACACAATCAATTAAACAATTAAGCATACCTTCTCCTAGTATAATAGTGACCCCAGTAGCATCCACACCTCAGTCCACTAACAAGACGAATATACCAAGAGAGGGTGGGAAACCAAATGCTGCCATGAATAATAGCCAGGAAAAGAAAATTACGGTAAGTATCAATACATTTTCTCTATTCCTGGCTAATCATGGCAGCATTTAACATATGGGATTCCCAAAGCAATAACCACTCAGGGAGGGTAATTCATGCTACAAAAAATTGTTTACTATTAACGTAAGGCTTATAAGAGTTCAAAACCGATAGGCCGAACTCTGAATCAGAACGAGATGAGACATCCACTCTGTAGTGATGCACAAAGGTTTTTTTAAAGATGACCAATTGGCAGCTTTACAGATGCTCTCTGCAGGGACTCCAGACTCTGCTGCCCATGAAGTAGAAATGGATCTTGTGGAATGAGCCTTTTGTCCTTGGGAACTGGTACATGTTTTGTCCTGTATGCTCTAGAAACAGCCTGAACTGTCCAGGAATGAAGGGTTGCTACAGAAGCAGCTTCACCTTATGAGAACCCCAAGGTATCACAAACAATTGGGGAGACTTTCTCCAAGTAGGTGAGCATGCAATATATGTGGAAAGACACCTCCTTAGGTCTAGTGTATGACTTCTTTCTTCCTCAGGAGAAGAAGGGTCTTGAAAATACCCCGGCAGAACAATCTCTTGATTCAGATGGAAGGATGTAACAACCTTCGGAAGGAACTCAGGTCTAGGCCGTAGCACAACTCTATTATCGAAGAAGGTAGTGAACGGTTCCTCAGATGACAGTGCAATAATGTCTGACATTCTCCTAGCTGAGACTAAGGCCAGTAACAACAGGGTCTTTAGAGAAAGAACCTGCATCGGGACCTCATCAATAGGTTCAAAGGGATGTTCCGTTAAGGCCTGCAGAACCAGAGGCAAATTCCAAGGAGCTGAGAATTTTTTGATAGGTCTAATCCTAATGACAGCTTTGAAGAAGCGAATCACAATGGGATTTAATGCCCAACGAATACCAGAAAGAGCTGAGCAGTGTACTTTAAGAGTGTTAAGTTGAAGGCCCCTCTCCAGGCCTGCTTGCAGGGAACCTAAATCTTGAACCGTGGAATTACTCCATCGTGCAAAGGCTTCCTATATCTTATGGTAGGTAGAGGAAGTAGACTAATTCCTAGAACGTAACAGGGTTGAGATTATCTGGTCCGAAAGGCCATGGTCAACTAGAGATTGCCTCTCAATAGCCATGCATGGAGCCTGAACTTGTGAGGCTCTGGATGAAAGACTGGACCCTGAATCAGCAGATCTTCCGAGACCGGAAGCTCCCAAGGCAGGTCCTTTGATAACCTCTGTAACAGGGGAAACCAAGGGCGATGAGGCAAGAAGGGAAGAACAGCTATCACCTTGCAATGCTCCTTGGAGAGCTTTCTCAGAACAGCGTGGATGAGGGGAATTGGAGGAAAGACGTAGGCTAGATCGAATTCCCATTTGATGGATAGAGCATCCTGAGCAACTGCCTTTGGATGGTATCTTCTTGAAACAAAGCACGGAGCCTGGGTGTTCTGAATAGTTGCCATGAGGTCCACTTGGGGAGGACCCCACTTCTGGACCAACCGAGCGAAGATCCTCCTGGAAAGTTGCCATTCTGATGCTTCTATCAGGTGTCTGCTGAGAAAGTCTGCTAACACATTCTCCTTTCCTGGGAGATAGGTGGCACACAGGCCCGCCACATGAGTCTGAGCCCAGGTCATAATGGGAACGATTTCCTTCATCATGGCTACACTCCTTGTCCCACCTTGATGATTTATATAGGTAGCAGCCTCTTTGTTGTCCACTCTCAACTTGATCCAGGAATGCCGGATGATGTGTTGAAAATGAAGAAGTGCTAGAAAGCTAGCTCTCAGTTCCCTGATGTTGGAAGGTAAGCATTGGGTCCTTAGAGGCCATTTTGAAAAAGTAGATTCCATAAATGTGCCCCCCATCCGGTCTGACTGGCGTCTGTCGTGATGACCACCCAATCTATTTCCATCAAGGGAAACCCTCGGGAGATGTTTTCCCATGAATTCCACTGAAGGAGCTTCTGTTTTAGAACAAAAGGAATGCGGATCAATCTCTCCCAATCCCTCGAGCTGGTCCTGAAATTCTTCAAAAAAATTTGTTGAAGAGGGCGAAAGTTCCACCGTGCCCATCTGACAAGCTCTAATGTGGAGGAAAGAGTCCCCAGAAATCTCATAAACTCTCTCGCAAAGGCCGAAATTTTCAGTCTGAAGCTCCTCATACGATCTTGAAGTATGAGCTTTCTGTCGTGTGCGAGGGATAAAATCGCTGTTTGTATTGAAATTTGCTCCCAGGAATACCAGTTCTCTTGATGGATGCAAATGACTCTCTTTTTGTGATTGATGAGCAAACCGAAACGAGAGTGTGTCGAGGACTAGTTGTCTGTGTTGGAACATGGATTTTAAGTCCGGGGCCACTACCAGGATGTCGTCCACGTTGTGAAACACAGCTACACCTTCTTTTCTGAGAAGAGCGGAATCAGAGTGAATTTTGCCCTTTTCCAAAATGGCTGTTTCGCGATCTCGCGACACCTGAGCGCATGTGAGCTCCTTTAAAGGTACAGAGCGTGAAATTTGAAATGGCGGTATTACAGTATCAAACGCTTGTTTCTTTTCCCTTTAAAGATACAGTGCTCTATTAGAGTGTTTTCTTAAGCTCTGCAAAATACTTTTCTCATTTATAATAATCCAAATGTTTAGGCTGGGAATGCATTACCTTTTTTAATGTTCTTAGCCCTACTGTCAGTATGGATCCCCTTCTGCAAAATCAACGAGATCTGCAATAGGTCATAGGTGAGCAACACATATATTTTTTTTCACGTTACTAAAAAGAGTGCATGGAGGGTACAGTCTTATGACTTCTGTGTCTTACACCCCTCGAGAGCGGTCCTGTCTCAGATCCCCATTGAGGAGAAGGGAAAAAATGGCAGCCTGCCCTGGATGTGGTGCAAGGCCAATGGATAACTGCAGGAGATGCTTAGCCATGGTTGCAGGAGAGTCAGAAGTCACCGCAAGCCTCTACCTCTTCAGCCAAGGATATTGTTTACTGGATTAAGCAGGCAGTGGTGGAGGGAATTGCAGAATCTAATAAAGGTAAAAGATCAAGAGGTGAGACCTTCGGCATGGACTCAGATCAGTCTGACGACGACTACAGACAGGCTTCGGCTTACCTGGATTTAAAGCCAATCTCATCCAGCGAAGAGGAGTATATGGAACAGCCTTGCTCCTTGGACTCCAAAGCTATGGAGCACTTGATTATGGCAGTCAGGAGAACATTGGATTTGCCTGAAGAGGCTAAGGAATGTTCAGCTTCTGACAGACATTTTGATGATTTGCACAAGAGAAGACCTTCCTTTCCAGTTCACAGCTCCTATTAAAGACCTGATGCGGAGCGAGTGGCAAAATCCAAGTAAAAGGATTACTAGTCAAGGAAGGCTTTCTAAATTATACCCGATTTAAAGAGGAGGATTCCAGAATGTGGACAACGGTCCCAAAGGTTGATGCTTCTATTATTAAGGTAGCAAAAAGATCCACGCTTCCAATTGATAGCAATGCTTCCCTAAAGGAACCAATGGATAAAAGGATTGATGCTGATATATCTAAAGTATTCATGACAGCGGGATTAGGATGTCATCCGGCTGTATCCATTTCTGCTTTGTCAAGAGCCTTGCGTTCCTGGATACTTGATTTGGAGGAAGACCTAGATAAAGGTGTAAGCAGACGTTAGATGGCGGAATCCTTGAGGGATATCAAACTCGCAAGTGACTGGCATTTGGAATACTCTACTGACCTTATTAGAATTCTTTCTAAGGTTATGGCTCATTCAGTCACCGCTAGATGGGCACTTTGGCTGAGATCCTGGGGAGCAGACCTTTCCTCTAAGAATAATTTGTGCACCCTTCCTTTTATGGGAGAAGTACTCTTTGGGAAGCCGCTGGATGAAGCTATTAAAAAAGTGGCCGAGGTTAAACAGGTCATGCTGCCACAAGATAGACGTCCCAAGAGACCTCATCTGGACTGTAGACCTTTCAGGGATCAAGGCTATTTTAGAGAAAGTAAGACCTACAGACCGGGCAGAGAATTTGCTAGGCATTCCAATTGGAAGAGCAGTCAGAACATCAAATCTTCTAGGGGCAAGACGCAAAACTCTTTCTTTCGCCCCAACAAGCAATTCTGAAGGTGGCTTACTCCAGGTTCCTTGAGCGGGAGCACATCTGTCATTCTTTCAGAGGGCCTGGGAAATCATTCCAGATGCTTGGGTAAGGTCCATTATCACCGGAGGTTATCCTCTGGAATTCGAAGAATTTCCTCCTCCACCAAGGTTTATTCGAACAAGGCTTCCTACCAACAGCCAAAAACTAGAGATTTTTAACTCTTTATGTCAACAATCTTCTTCTAGAAGAAGCCATCGTCCCTGTACCCATGAGAGAAAGATTCCAGGGATATTATTCTCCCCTGTTTTTGGTCAAGAAACCCAAAGGGAAATGGAGACCTATATTAGACCTCCACCAGCTCAACCTTTAGCTGAGAGTTAGAAGATTTTGCATGGAATCCATTCGTTCCATTGTTCCTGTTGTTCATCACAAAGATTGGTTGATCTCGGTAGACCTCAGGGATGCATATTTTCATGTCCCTATCATGGTCAAGCACCAGAAGTTTCTCAGATTTTGTGTCAGGAAGGAAAACTTTCAATTTCCCAAATCCCTTTGGGATAAGTACAGCCCCGAGGACCTTCTTGAAGATTTTGATCTGGAAACCTTTGTCTACCGGTCTTGCGCGGGAGTCTTACCGTCATGCCGATCGTCTGATCGATGTCTGGAGTTCCCATTCCAGATACCAGTGGGTTCCAACAGCCTGGGGAACTAACCACCACGGCTCCCAGGGGTTCCCAACTCTTCAGAGATTGGGCTACATGTGCCTGGGCTTCCTGAGGAGGGAGGCTGACCTCCACAGGGACAAGACCATATCAGACATGGTCAGGTGAGCAAAAAAAAATTTAATATTCAGACAAACTGGAAAAAAAAAACTGTCCTAGGGCTAGGAGGACAGGAAAAGACTGAGGTGTGGATGCTACTGGGGTCACTATTATACTAGGGGAAGGTATGCTTAATTGTTTAATTGATTGTGTTTCCTGTCCTGAGGGTAAGAGGGAAGAGCTAAACCTATATGTTAAATGCTGCCATGATTAGCCAGGAAATATAGATAAATATATTACATTAATGATTATATAAGTATATATAGAATGTAAATACATATATATATATATAAAAAGTCTACGTGTGTATATATAAGTAATCTTTTTGCATACTTATGTGATTTTATTAATTAAAATTTGATTGACATACCTGACAACCCAGGCAGAAAGTGCAGAGAATGTAATTCGCAAGCACTATATTTAACCCTGTAACTTTCCAAGACACCCTAAAACCTGTACATGGGGGGTAGTGTTTTACTCGGGAGACTTTGCTGAACACAAATATTAGTGTTTCAAAATGGTAAATTGTATTGCAATGATTATATTTTTTGTAAAAGTGACTTTTTTGCATTTTTCACACATGAACGGCACTTTTACTGACGCTATTGTAATACATTTTACTGTTTTGAAACACTAATGTTTGTGTTCAGTGAAGTGTCCCAAGCATAACAGTACCCCCCCCCATGTACAGGTTTTATGGTGTTTTGGAAAGATAGAGAGTCAAATATAAGGCTTGCATTTCATTTCTTTCATATTGAAATTTGCCAGTTTGGTAATGTTGCCTTTGAGACCGTGTGGTAGCCCAAGAATGAGAATTGTCCCCATGATGCATACCATTTGCAAAAGTAGGGAACCCAAGGCATTGTGAGACTTTGCTGAATACAAATATGTGCATTTTATGGTAGTAAAAGCTAACAGTATTATGACATTTACAGCTAAAATGTTAGACGGAACTACAATTTTATTATTTTTTTAAATCTTAATTTCTCGCGTTTATTTTTTTTTATTTTATTCATCATAAATTGTTTTCAGATATAAATAGTTAATGAGAAATTAAGGCCCTGTTTCTCCTGAATGATGTATATAATAAGTGTGGGTGCACTTAATATGAAAGAGGTGAATTACGGTTGACATATAGCGCAAATTCCAGTTTTTGTTTACATTTTGTTTTGATCAGAACGTGTACAATTGACTCCGTCCTGAAGGGATTAAATTAGTTTTGTAACAGTACAATGAAAAATACAGATGGTAACTTTTGAGAACATACCCCATTGTAATGTACTGTTGATGCTTATGCTCCGTAGTTTTGTGTAAAATGTAATAACTGGCACTCACAAAGGCACTTCAACCATGAGTCTTCTCTACCTATTCTGATCTCCTATGTTTGCTTCCCACAGTAGGCCACAGAGCAGCTATCAAGGAATGACCTTCACAGTCCGACCAGGCACAAGGCAGCCTATCACCAATACATATCAAGGAGGCTACCTCTGAAGTTCCAGTCAACATCTGCCTATAGAGATCTTCTGATGTTATCTAGAGGTAGACAAAAGGTTTCCAGATCAAAGTAATCTCTATGTAGTTACTCAAACGTTGTGTAAAAATGTAATTTTTCTTGACTAAAACTAATGTTCTTGATATTGATTTTTGCTGTGATACTTTACAGTATGTCATAACACGGTATACAAAGGAAATGTAAATATAAGATTTATAATGTTTGGGTTCATTACAAATGGCTGCTAAATATTTAATTGTGTGTCTTCTATCCTGTATCTATACATTGTTTCATGTCTATCATTCTTTCAGTTTTAAGTGCTTTTTTTTTTTTTCTCTGTACATTTTGATATGCATTTATCTGGCAAACATTTTTTTTTTTTTTTAAAACCTTTTAGTCTTTCAGTTTAACTTTTGGAAAACCTAGAAAATAGATTAATTTTAAAAAAATAAAATAAAAATAAAATATTTTAAACGCCTCAACCAAATATTTGGAGGATCAGAACTAGTCAATATAACTTATTTGTTTCATTTTTACTTTTACTTCTTGTTCATAACTACTGTATTTTCTTGCTTATGTCCAATTGTTTTATTATGCATAAACTTACTGTATATTAATATTGTTTTTACAATAAAAAAGAAATTAAAATGCATTCGATAAATATGAACCATAAAAATGCCACTATGTATAACTGTTATTGAAATGTACATACTTTGTAGGTGGCTATCTTGCTGTTGAAGATAACCCATAAAAGCACTTTCTGTATGTATGTTCATTTAAATATGTATTTCTTTAATGGGTACTCTGCCTTGTTATACATAGTGTTATTAGAAACTGTTGTACTATCTTTTTGTTTTTATTTTTTGCTTTTTAGTGAGCATGCTTATGTATGTCTATTTTAAAACAATAAAATATTTTATGCATTGTATTTGTGGTTTGCATATTTTTATTATCTGCATAACTAGTGGGTAGATCGTTTTTTTTTGTTTGTTTTTTAAATAACATAGAGTAATATAAACAATGTTGAAGTAAATTCAAAAGTAGTAATGTCTTAAAGAGACATGGAACTTCTATGCAAGAAAGCCAAAAACATATTTAAAAATTAATAAGCCTAAATAGCATTCAGGCAAATCATTAGAGCCTAATAATTCTCAATGAGAGAGAATCATTCTTTTCCAGGATTCCCAAGCCTTATGTGGTAAAACATTTTGTCACACATGTAGATAATACTCATAATGGTCAGAATTATTTTTTTTAAAGTTACAACTGCAGATAATGTGTTTTTTTTTTTTTATTTATTTAAAATTAAAGTGAGAAGAAACATGAATAGAACAGAGTAGACTAAAGTATATAATTCAGCTTTAAACCGTATCTTCACATGTGTATCAATGAACAGAAAGGATAACTCTGTACGTGACCTCCATTAGGGATATTTTGGAACGTGGAGCTGACTCCCAGAATGCAAGTCGTGTATTGTATTTGTTACTTTGTCTGTAAACGTGCAGAATTTTCACTGCGTCACAGATTCTCACTGAAAGTGTCTATAAAGATTAGATTCTGTGGAAGGCTGTTTGTGTGACCAATTTTATTAATATATTGCTGATCTTCTTAAACTGCAGGGTGTCTCACTTATTCATAAACTGATTCCTGTTTTAAGGTAATCCTCCCTAAAGGTTCTCCTCATTAATAGAATATCTAATTTGGGCATAAACTCACTCGGCAGCATGCATTTGTTAATGTTTGATGACTACACAGGGTGTGCTCACATAGGTGGGGTGAGTCCTAGGTTGCAACAGGTTATATAAAACATCAGCAAGAACAGACATGATTTTAGAATATTTTGTACATTGCATTAAGATAAAATGATTCCGATTTTCAATCCCTTGCAATATCGGCCAGACAGCCTGGCCACTTGCCAAACATATACAGCCTAGTGTTTTGGCCACCTTATGATACCCTATAAGCAAACCAATTCAGATCATCATTTAAATAAACACTCAAAGTATCAGAACCACAACACCGCTTGGGGCATTCCTCTTCATTGTAACTAGAATTAGAGTGGTTTGACTTGCTACCTGGTGTCTTCGAGCCCTGCTCTCTGCTGGTAGAAGTGAGACCTTCTCAACCATTTAGCTGTTCTAGCCCTGTAGGGCATAGCACAGGAGAGCTCATGGAATTTCTTAACAGGAGCTTCCTGCTCTCATTTCTGTTTCTGAGGAGTGGTGCATAGTTGACCATAGGTAACAAATCCAACCATTCTAAGCTGTATGACTATTTACAATGGGTGGGCACCAGGGCACCATAAACAGTACAGTGCGCTTTACTCATTATGGTTCTTGTACTTTTCCTTTAAGATGTAAATTTAATGTATAATGTACAACTAAAAGTGATGTTTTGCCAACAGCACAGTTGTATTTGTAGTTGAACGTTTTGTATTATATAAACACTGTAAAGTTATCTTGCAGAGCCTTCCCCGCCCCTTTAATATGTAAACATGGTTCTTCCTATGATATATTCCATTAATCTAGGATTCATTGTTCAGGGAGACATTGGGAATAAGGATATGTTGAGGTGTAAAAGTAGACAC